TTTTATTTATTTAATTTTTTTCCCTTAACCTCTCTTTACAAGCTACCCTAGTCCCTGACAGATCCAGTTCTCAAGCTCCTTGTTTGCTCTGTTTGCATGGGCTTTGTTTTTTACAATATTCTCCTTTCAAGTGCTGCAGCAGCCGAGCGTCTCCTGCGGGAGCTGTGAGCACAAACCCCGCCAAGGCCAGGCACACGCCTCGGAGCGACCTCTTCCTCCTCATTATGTCCGTGATGGTCTCAATGTCACCAGTTCAAGCACAGGCACACGGGGTTCAATGCGGCACCGAGATAAAGAGACATCCCCACTCCCCCGAGGCGTCAGCGACTCTGCCGCTCCTTGATTGTGCCTTTGGCAGACGCCTCATTAAAAGTGGGTTATTCCACACAAACACCCCTTGCTTGTCCTTTCGCAGGCGTAATCTGAGCGTGGAGGGGGAGCTCAGCTCCGCAGCAGCGCCTGAGCCTGTCCAGACCTCGACTCTAACGAGCTGCTGTTCATTTGTAGCCTTCTCTGCCCCTCCTGGAGTTGTACTTTCCTTCACTTAACACTGTCTCACAGGCAGTTTTGGTCGTGCCTCCAGCTACTAGAATGAAAATTAGCATTACCCAAACCAAACCCAGGACACTCCTCTTGTAAATCCTTTGGTCTTAGTCCAAATAACGTTTCTCCTCAGTCGGACACACCTCCTGCATGAAACGTTCTGATGTATTACTAAGTTACAAAGTAGAGGAACCAGACTGAATCTTTCTCTTCCCTTCATGTAAATGGTTCAGTGGAAGGTGTCCCTGCCTGTGGCAGGGGATGGAACTGGGTGATCTTAAAGGTTCCTTCCAACCCAAACCACTCTGTGATCCTCTGTCCTGCAGCCTCCTCCTGCTGTGCTCAAAGCTGTGGCTCTGAGTACTCTCTGCACTGCAGAGAGGTTACAGAGACTGCCTGTGCCTCAGTTTCCCTTTGCACTGGAAGGTTTGTAGGTAGATTTGGCAGTACTGAGTTAACAGCTGGACTCAGTGATATTGGAGGTCTTTCCCAACTTGTGCGTGGCTCTCTGCTGTGTGTGCAAACAGGCAGGAATCACTCCAGGGCTGATCAGAGCCTGATGCCTGCAGGTAGCACCTCCACAGGCAGGGACTGTGGAGGGAGGTGCGAGGAGCTGCTGCGTGTGGAGGCTGCCCCGCCTGCGTGTGGGCAGAGCTGCATGTGCAGGGAAAGGGATTTGGGGGAGGGAGAGGAGATTGGTGTGCGTGGGAGCTCTGTGCCAGCCTGCAAAGGATGCAGGTAGGCTGGATCCGTGCGTGCAGAGGTGGAAAGCTTCCACCGAGGCCTCTGTGATTGTAAGAGACTTTTGAAACACACCTCAGGAAAAGGGTCTCAAATGTGGCCTCCAGCTCCTCTTGCAGAACTCCCATGGAGCATCTCTGCTCTGGAGCCGTTGTTGAGTTCGTGGTTTGCTCGGACGGGCGTGTGCGGGGTGCGTGGGCTGGGATGGGTGAGCGGCGGCCGGCAGGGCTGAGCCAAAGACAGCTCAGGGCCGGCAGGGCTGAGCCAAAGGCACTCACGGCCGGCAGGGCTGAGCCAAAGGCGGCTCAGGGCCCGCAGGGCCGAGCCAAAGGCGCTCAGGGCCGGCAGGGCTGAGCCAAAGGCGCTCAGGGCCGGCAGGGCTGAGCCAAAGGCACTCAGGGCCCGCAAGGCTGAGCCAAAGGCACTCAGGGCCGGCAGGGCTGAGCCAAAGGCGGCTCAGGGCCCGCAGGGCCGAGCCAAAGGCACTCAGGGCCCGCAAGGCTGAGCCAAAGGCGGCTCAGGGCCCGCAGGGCCGAGCCAAAGGCACTCAGGGCCCGCAGGGCTGAGTCAAAGGCACTCACGGCCCGCAGGGCTGAGTCGAAGGCACTCACGGCCCGCAGGCTGAGCCAAAGGCACTCACGGCCCGCAGGCTGAGCCTAAGGCGGCTCAGGGCCCGCAGGGCTGAGCCAAAGGCACTCACGGCCCGCAGGCTGAGCCAAAGGCACTCACGGCCCGCAGGGCTGAGCCAAAGGCGGCTCACGGCCCGCAGGGCTGAGCCAAAGGCACTCACGGCCGGCAGGGCTGAGCCAAAGGCGCTCACGGCTGGAGGAGCCGAGCACGCCCCGCAGGGCTCTGCCCGAGCAGCATCACCGAACTCCACGCGAGTTCTTTCTGTTTCGGGTGTTCCTCCGCACACCTTTGCTCCCATCCTCTGTCCGGCTGGCGTCGGGACCCAACCGCGGCTCTCCCTCCTCACTTGTTGAGGAGCATCGGCAGGAGAGGGAGCGGTTCCCTTGGAAACCTCTGGATGCCCAGCAACAAGTCGCTGACAGCTGCCATGTGACCAGGTGCATTAATCAGAAATGTTGTATGGATCAGGTCAGATGGGGCCAAAGTCCAGCGCGCTCCCCCTCCACTCCACTGCTAATTACTGAGCGGCGAGGGCTGCTCCGAGAACGGGGTGGAAAACAACATAAAATAATTAAATCAAACAGTGACCTTTCTTGTTGTGGATTCTAAGTTCATCCCCAGAATTTCTCCATGAAAAAAATCTGTCCGATCCCCTCTTCCACTGAAACAAATCTTGAATGCAAATGAGTGAGGCAGAGGAGTCTCCCCAGGTGGAAAAGCCAGGGAGAATGAATGTGCCATGGACACAGAGAGTTCCCAGCTCTCTACTCAAAATAAGCCAAACATTTCAAAAGAATCTTTTGAATGAGTAGATCAGGCTTGAGACAGTTTGGGCTAGACAGGTACAGCTTGTGTTCATCACTTGGATCCCTTTGAAAATCATATTTCTGAAGCCTCAACTGAATTTGCTGGACAGCATCACTAGTTAGAATGCAGGGAAAGGACTTGAGTCCAAACTCCTGCCCAGCAGCCCTAAAAGAAGAGTCTGCAGCTCTCAGGAAAACAGGCAGTGCCTATGCACGTCTCATCCCTTGTGAACTGCTGTAAAATGGCTTTTCTTTGTGATACAGAGACCTGGAGCCCCTCTGCTCTGCAGCCAGGCTGGGAGAATTGGGGTTGTTCCTTTACCCTGGGTTTCCTTTCTAGGATCTTAAGGGAATTAGGTATCCAAGGACTTGGGCGCCCCTCAGCATTTTCCGTAAGATGTTGTTTACAGCTTCGGCTCTCATTCTTTTCATATTTCCTCCAAATTTCTGCTTTGCCTGGACCAAGTGAGAGCAGTGCCTTCCAGATTTGTGTCCTGAAGGAAAATCTCTTGCAGCCGCACGTCCAAGGCCAGGCACCAGCAAGGCTGTAACGTCTTCTCTTACCCCAGCACCAATCTACATTCTTTGTGCTGTGACTAATTCATGGCAAGGTCATCAGGTCCTGCCAGGCTCATGCCCTGCTGCAGGGTTTGTCTCCCAGGCTGTGATTTGTGTCACACACAGGTACATTCTGTCCCAAACCAGCTTTTATCTCGGGCAAAACAACGCTGTTGCTGTGGCTGGGCAGGGCCTGGGCTGGCATAAGCCAGGTAAAAGATTTGGCCCGTGATCCATGGTAGTGGGGGAAGACAAACAAACAAACAAACAAACAAACCAAAAAGAGTTGGAAACAGAGCACCTGGCTTTATTGTAATCGCTCTGTAATTTGAATAGCATCCAGTGCCACTTGAAAATGGGCTCCTTCATGTCATCTGCTCTTACTTGCAGGTCTTAAGAGCCCCATTTTACCCACAGGGATCCATTTGTAGCAGAAATTTCCCAAATCAGACATGAATGTGGGTCTCAAGTATTACCCAGAGATCTCAAGTATTACCCAGACAAGCCTTCAATTCTGGACCGTTTTGATGTCTATCTAATTAATGTTCCCACCAATCATTACTTTTCCTTTGGTATCATGTGGTAAGACATCCCATGCACAGGATATTCCAGAAGACAAAGCTTTACTCAACAGACTGACCATCTAGGGTAACTTAGGGCAGTCTTGAAAAATTGGTGTCTGCAACCTGTGTGTTTTCCATCCTAGACGTGCATCTCAAACCCATCCCTGCTGACACCCCGTCAAACTCAGGGATATGAGTGTTTCTGGAGGTGAGGGTTAGGAAACAAATTTGTTCTCAGTGCTGAATGCTGTGCTCCTTGGCACACTTGAGGGAATAGTTCCTGACCTCCTTACTCTGGAAACAGGAGAGGTCCAAACGGATTCCAGCTACTCAGGTCTGGGCTGTCTTTTCAGTTTGGTGTGTCTGTGAAGAATTGGAGGGTTGGGGTTTGTGCCAGCCCCGAAAACTGGATGATAAGGGCTGAAGCTTGGCTTGTCCATTGGAGTGGGAAAGCAGCGGGTACGAGCCCTGGGTCTGAGGGACACTGCGGCAGGACGGAGAGGACAGGCAGGTCCCGGGGAACCCGGAGCGAGTGACCCGCACAGAGCAAACCTTCCGTGCTCCCGCTGGAGCCAGGCGGGCTCTCCCTCCCCGCGGGCCGTTCCCGCTGTTCCCCCCGGCACGGAGAGCTCGGAGCGCGCTCCGCCGGCGCTGCCCCGCTCCCGGGGCTCGCAGCTCCCCGGCCGGACCTGTTGCCGTGCGGCCCCGGTGCCGCCGGCCGGTGAGACTCTTACACTGAAGGCGGGCGGGCGGGCCCATGATGTAATGCTGCCGCACTGCCCGGAGCGGCCGCTGCCGTTGGCCGAGGCGCGGAGTCCCCGCCCGGGCGCTCCGCCCGCCGCCCCCCCGGCGGGCCATAAAAGCCCCGCGGCAGAGGCAGGGCAGCTTCCGCGGCCCCTCCGCCGCTCAGGTGCGCCGGGCACAGGTGAGCCCCGCAGGTGCGGAGGCGGCTCGGGAACGCTGCGAGGGCTCCTCGGCCACCTGTGGAGCCGCTCCCGCCTCTACCGGGCGGCTCCGCGGGTGCGGGGAGCGCTCGCTCGGGGGACGGGGCCGCCGGGGCGATCCGGGGAGAGCCCGAGCGGATCCCGGCGGAGCGGCCGCGGATCAGCACCACGGACAGCGCCCGGCGGGGCCGCACCGGGACGCGAGCCCGGCCCCGGGAACCGGCACCGCGGGCAGGACTCTCCCGGGACATCACCGCCCACCGGAGGCACCGAGGCGGCGCTGGATGCTCGCCGGGCCGGGTGAGTCCAGCCCGAGGGGGCTCTGCGGGAGAGGGGAGGCAGGAGAGCGGCAAAGGGAGCGGCACAGCCCGGTCACCTGCCCGCACGTACCGGACACGGATGCCCCGGTCCCGTCCCCATCCAGCCCTGCCCGACACCGACCCAGGGCCCGGAGCCACTCGGGATGGGAGCCAAGGGCCGGCTGAGGTGGGAAGGGACGGTGGGATGGAGGCGTTTTCCAAACATCCTCAGGTAAGAGACGCTCACAGCCTCGGGTAGGGCTGGGAATGGGAACATTTGGGAAGCACGGTGTGACTGCGTGAATCCAAACGTAACCCGCACTTCACATCTGCTCAACATCAAAGCTTTATGCTGGAAAACCCAACGCTCTCGTTTTGAAAATGTGTCTGACTGGTAGTTCATGTGTAAAGTTTAAAATTAAAATTCCCTAGTTTGTAGGAGAAACAGGATATTTCACCAAGGTACTGTTGGGAGATGATGCTTCATGAACAGTTAATTGAAATTATTTTTCCTCCATGGCTGATTCTATCTGGCTACTCAAAATCTGCCTTGCAGTAGTGGCACACTTTGGGTCCATTGACAGATTGTGTTATTTTGAAGTGCTCGATGGCTAAATCAGAGTGGATTTTTTCCCAAAATGCTCCAGAGAAAAGAAATTTAAAATTGAGTGTGATCAAATGAAACAAAGCGGTTGGTTTTTGTTTTTAATTTTGACAAAATTAAAACAACAAAGTATTTATTTCTGGCTCACACTGAAATAAAACATTATTTTCTCTTTAGACTATTAAACCAATGAGCTAATCTAGAAAATAAAAAAGATAAAATGTTCAAGTGTTTGAGCACTTTGGAAATTAAGCATTTCACAGAGCTGAAGTGATTTGCTGCATTTGTTTTATGTCCATTTTTGGAAGCTGGGATATTCCCTGAATGAATCCCTGTTCATTAGAAATTCTCCCCCAGCTCTACTAAATGTGTGGTTAAACACTTTGCTGAACAGAGGCTCAAGGTGATTTAATCCAGGCTCAGCCTGGCCACATCTGTCCTTACACTTGTATTTTTCCTGGGTGATGCTGGCCTCTCAGAGGAAAAGGAAACAAGCTGTTCTCCATTTTAAAACTCCTATTTTTTACTTCAGAATTAAATATTTCTGGGGAAAAAAGAAGAAAAACACTTGAAAAGAAAATTATTTCCTTTCAGGCCTTGATTATCCACATAACCTTTAGACATATTTTATAGACATTGAACAAAGTAAAGGTGGGAATGTTTCCCTGGGGAACTGGAGTGGAGGGATATCTTTGTTATCTCTCTTTAAATCTTCTAACATCTCCCAACAGCTGCTGAGGTTCAGTCTGGGCAGTGCCTTCTCTCTGCCAACACCAATATCAGGCTTTTCTCCTCGAAGTGCCCTGTAAAATATGGGGAAAAAATCCCATATTCTTCACCTCCTGCCCCAAAAAGCCATGCAGAAGAAGCCAGAAAATGATATTGTACCAAATACCTATTCCTGCTTTTATGGCTTTATCTCCACATTCTGGAAAATTACCTAATCAGATTTCATATTTAATATAAAAAATAGTAGGACAGGTGATATGATATCTTCAAAGCTAACTAAATTTTGTATTGTGCAGTCTTGCTTAATCAAAGTTTTATTTCCATTTGTTCAGGGCATATTTTGTCACTTTTTTTTTTTTTACTGGCCATTCTCTGTAGATGTCATAGATGGATCCAACCCAGAGGTCTCTGAAGAACAGGGGACTCAGGGTAAGGTCTGAACTTAATTCAATTTAATTCCTGACCCTTTAAGTATTCTTCAAAATGAGCAAACTGGAAATGAATCTGGTAGGAGGGTTCCATGTCACCTGCTGGAAGCAAATATTTGAAGTTTTGCTAGAAATAAACACCATCCAGCCATCCAGATTTGTATTGTTTAAAATTCAATGGAAATAAAGCCTGTCAAAGGCAGGATCCTTTTTTCTCGGCCTCTCCCCTCCCAGCACACAGCCAATGTTCCAGGCTCCTGGCTCTGTGTGCCTTGCACAAATATTTGTCTGTGTGTCGCTGCCACTCCACTGCAATCGTGGCATCTGGTAGTGGCTGGGAGACTGGGAGCTGCTTGGGAATCCCAGCAGGAAAGAGAGAGTGGATTTCAGCCACGAGATCTGCCACAGCTTTTGAGCCTGGATAAACAGGATGAGGTTGTGGTGCCTTTGGCAGGGATTTGTTCTGCCCCAGGGTTCACCTGCAGCCTCTCTCAAACGCTGCACTGGGGACACAGCACCTGCGCCACAAACCCACCCCACTCCTGCAGGATTCAGGCCAGAGAGGGATCTCAGGGGACTCTGAGCAAAGGATTTGGGTTTTTCTGCTCACCCACATCACAGAATCACAGAATGGTTTGGGTTGGAAGGGACCTTAAAGCTCCTTGGGACATGGAAATTTTATTTCATGTGTGTTCAGCACTTAAAGATTCTGGCTCTGGGACTCTGGATCAGGAAGGGCAAAGAGAAGCTCTTTGATGGCACACCCAGTCTGTGGCTCTGCAGGACCTGCAGCAAACCCTGGCCTTAGGAAGAGAACTTTCCCTTTTGATTTATTTTCATTTGGAGACTCAGAATTTTTCATAAACCTACAGTAACTTACACAATGTCAGGCTCCACTTCAGGAGAATACAAATGCACAAACTTGAGCACTGAACTCCCTCAGGAATCAAACTAAAGTCAAGCACTTGGCTGCACTGAGGATTAAAGGATGTTTCCATAATGTTATGCAAAGATCTCTTTATCCTGTGTTACTTAAGGCTGTACATTCTTCCCAAGTCATGTTCAGAGGCACAACTCCCTCCCCTGTGATTTTCCAAAGCATTTTACTGTTTTCAGGTGCTCAGCGTGACATATTCCAATTAATCCTGATTTTCAGGGACTTCTAAGCACCTGCCTCTCGTAATCGGTCCCTTTCAGAGTGTCTCAAACACAAATAGAAGGTGTCCAAAATTGCTGACTTCTTTTGAAAATCCAGAGCCATGATGAACAGTCCACCTACAAGATTCCAGCCCAGGTGAAAATTGCATGGATTCAAGCCCCCCAAATTCAAGGCAATAGTCAATACCTGCTCCTGTGGGATGACAATGCACCCTGCCATTAGAGCAAAGTTTCTCTTAGAAAGGAGAAAATTGCACCATTCCCAGTGAGAACAAGTGCAAATCTTTTCAGTTCAGCTCACAAAATTATTAATGTTGTGGTCTGTAATTCTGGCTAATCAAATATTCCATTGCTCTGTGCTGCCAGTCGATTGTTCATGGAGAAATCAATGCCACAAAGAGATGGCAAACTTATCCTGAGTTGCTCTCCTCAGACAAGGAGTCCCTATCTGGGGGAACAAAGCTTCAGCAAAGAGCAGGGCTCTGCAGGCTCACACCTTGCATGCATCAGGAGCAATGGGAATTTCTCAGGAGCAAGGAGAGCAAAGGCCAGTTCAGACAAACCTTTTCCCAAGTGGGAAAGAGCTGGGAATGTTTAAAGAGTTTTCAGTTGCTCCAGTGGGTTGTTTAGATCTGCTCAGAGATAATCTGTAGCCTGAAAGCAGAGGGGACAGGAGGACGGTGAGGGGCTGAATCCAGATCCCAGCAGGATCAGGGAGCTCTTGCACAGTGCCTGGCTCTGTGACAGCTGCTGGGGACAGGGACACCCCTGGGACAGGACAGACTGACTCCCACTCTGGCTCAGCTGGGAAAAGGAGGCTGCAGCTCTGCTTTGACCAGCTCCTCCTCAGCCCTGCCTGAGACACAGCAAGAGATGAGACACAAACTAAGAAAAGGCAATGCTTTGACTGATTTTTGCAATCCTCATCAGAAACCTAAAGCTGTTCCTAAATGAGGCACCTCAAATCCCTTGTCCATAAAGACAGCCCTAGTGATCCCCATTTCCAGGGTACCAGAAAACCAAATTCAGTGATATCTGTAAAGCTCTGGTGATCTGAGAGCAAATGGAACCAGAGAACAGAAAAAGGTGATTATCCTGTCAGGTTTGGCCTGGGAGGAAGATTATCCATCTATCTTGCCAGACCTATTTATCGTCTGATTTTCTCCTGGCTTAGCTTTTATCACCTTTCTAATCCTCCCCATCTAATTCAGACAACATTTTATCTCAGCAGTTCTCACCCAGCGCTGACGACGCGGGCTCAGAGCTCTGGGCAGGTTTTATGTGACCTCAGGAGGGGCTGCACAGGTGGGTGGAACATTAATTGCCAGCTAATGAGTTCACAACTTTCAAAAATAAATGAGCTGGTGTATTTTTCTAGGAGAGCAATGTTATATCTCTCTGCTGGTCTGTCAATGAGGGAATGGGTTTGGAAGAACTTTTCCAGAATTTTTAAAGAATGGACTAATGTTGTAGGAAGGACACCAGCTGGTTCATCACAGGTCCAGTTTATTGAAGAAAACATCAAACACTTATACAGCAAATAATAAGCTTATGAATATTCTGTAAGCCAAGCAATCTATTGGTTAAACTATACCATGAACTCTTCCTCATTCCTTAGGGGTTACATCTCTCTTTTCTCATGTCTCTTTCACTATTTGTTATCCTACTACAGCTAGGCCCAAGGACACACTATCTAGCAGGTGCAGAACTTGGAATTAGCCACGGCTTTGTACTTTTCCAGTCTGTAGTCAGGTAAATTTCCCAACAGACTAATTCCATGTAACACACAAATCTAAACGTGTGTGTGTACCTATACCTGTTGTACAGTGTGTATTTAAGTGGATGTGATGTATGAAATTGCTTTCTGGGATGGGAGGTACTGGGATGCATCATTTGAATCAAGCAGGACTCAAAGATAAATTTGAGGCAGATGATGTTTTTTGAGTATTGCTCATTGTTTGAACCCACTCAGAGAAAACAATGAAATTCCAGGACTCAAGACCCAAATCCCAGTGAAATGGAGGTTTCTGTGGGTACCACAGCCCTTTGCCTTTCCCTTTTCATCCCAAATCAACGAGCGCTTTCCTCACCTTGCTGCTGGGGAATGCATTAGGGGCTAAACTTTATCATGTCTGCAGCAGTTCCTGGAATAGCTGCAAGCTGAGCACTTGGTTAGGGACAGCCAGGAGAGATGATTACCTTCAGGCAGCCTCCATGGAACATGCCAGGGTTCCTACAGGCACAGCCTAATGTGGGATTTAGGATGCTGAACAGACTCCCATTACAGGGCCGGCCATCTCCACGCTTCCACACGGAGAGAGCTCCTCGTTAACATGCACACCAGTGGCTCCAGAACACAGCAGCCCAGTCGGGGCTCATTAAGGGCAAAATCATTCCAAGGGACATTGTTTCAGAAAGGAAAGGATTTAATTTCTCTCAGGGCTGGGGGTGAGTTGCAAAGAGCCTGGGGATTTTGCTCAGGGTTGTGTTGGAAGCTGTGCTGGAGTGTGGAGCTTGAGGCTGTGCTGGGGTCACCTTGAGAGGGACCCACAGCATCTGCCCCAGAGGGACCCTGGCTCACATCAGGGGCACATTAAAATAAATCTTTGTTAAAAAGGTGACTTAAAAGCCTGTGTCCTCTGGGATGGGAATTGCTCAGGCATGAGCCACAGGCTCTGCTCTGCTGGTGGAGGCTCTGTCTGTGTGCCTGGTTCTGCTCTGTCCCTGCCCCAACCTGCAAAGCTTTTGAGACCAGGAGGGGCAGTTGTGATGAGGAAATCTCAGTCCACTTTTATCAGCAGGTGTTAAAAGCCCCTAAGAATTATCATTAATAGATACAAATGAGTCACTGCACAGCTGAAATGTCCACTTTCTTCTGCTGACCATGGAACAATGCACTGGAACACACAACACATCCAATGCTTTAGTAATACACTGCAAATAAACATCTAATTATCAGGGCTGAGAGGGGAAGGCCTAAAAAGCAACAAGGATGAAGCCATTTGTCATCTCAGTTTGATTTCCTGTACAGACTCCTGCATGGAGTGTGCTGGTAGCTCTCCTCTCCCACGTGTGCCACTGCTCCTTGGGAATAACTCTGAGGCCTGCTCGTTCAAAGCTCAGCTCTATTTTAAAAATCTTCTCTTTCTGAAAGGGCTGTCTTTAAAAAGACCAAAAAATTGTACAGGAAAAAGGACAAAATTGCTTCTCAACAAAGGGGCTTATCAACAGCCCGTCAATAATGTGCCAAAGGCCAGAACCTGCCTTTCAAAGAGGCTCTGAAGCCTCGAGGTGTACTTTGAGAGCAATTAAGGGATGTAAGCAACATGATTATTATCTCATGGGTGACATTTTCATCGGCTCTTTGGGAAAAACGAGAGATGGGCTTGAGATGGCTGTGATCAATGTTCACCCCAGTCGTGCAGAAATGGCAGGAAAACATGTGGTAGATGGGCCTGGAAATCAAAATGCACAAGGAAAGGAAGGGTGGGAGGAAGGAGTGATGAGGGCAGAAGGATTTTAAATCATAGAAGCTGAAAGAATGAGTTACATGAGAAGGAGAGAACCTGAGAAATGTGAGTGGGAACCTGTGGCTTCCTTTGCCCATCTCAGGCCAGGTCTTCCACCTCTTCACTGATCAGGGCACAGCTCCATCCCGAGCCTGAGGAACGAGGAACAGAACATTCCCAGGGACTGAGGGATGCCTCAGGGCTCACAGGTGTCACGGTCACTCTGCTCTTTCTGCAGAGTCACTGCACTTTGAGCCATTGAGTTTGGGGATGAGCTCGGCCCTGGCTGGATTGGGAGCACAGAGCCCACATGGACGCTGCTCCAGCCCAGCACAGAAGCCAAGCAGAGGCTCAGATGTTGCACACACCCAGCTGTTTTGGAGCTAGGCAAAATGTTTCATGGAAAACACATCTGCAAGAGCCCATTTGGCTGCAAGTTTTCCCCAGTTTTGCTGAATTTCTTGTTTAGGAAAACAAACTTAATTGCAGCAGAACAAATTGTTGCTTAATTTGCTATAAAAAAATCTCCTTCCTACATTTCATTTTATGAAAAAAAAAATTAGAAATGTTAATGTTGAGTGAAAGAAACGATTTTTTCAATGTTTGGAAAGCTCCCTTGTCCCAAAAGATGCTGTTATATTCCCAGCTCCTCTCTGCATGTATCATCTCAGAGGAGCACAAATCCAAATTTCTGTGTGCATCCCCACAAAGTGTGCACTCACACCCTGGGCAAACAACTCCAGGCAGTCCTGACAGGCATAAGCTGCTCTGCATTCTCCAGGAGTGCCTTTTGAAGAGGATCTTAATAATAAAAATAATGTTCTGTTACTAGTTAAACACTGGGAATAATTCCTCCATCACAGGCAGGAATGAACCCCCGTTCCCTGGGAGGAATCCCCAGGGTCCCAGCAGGATGCATTAACAGCACGTCTCTCCAGTGAGCCGTGATGGGAACAGCACGGAGCAAAAAAAAGGTAAAGTGCTTAAAAACAACTTGTATTTTTAGAGCCCAGTCTCCCACAGAAATCTTCCGAGATGCTGAGCTCTCCACTTCTGATTTGCAAGGAATAATAGTTTGGAAGCCCAGCTGAGACTCCTGGGCTGTAAATTTTCTGTAATGCTTTTCTCCAGACCCATTTGCTGTCCTGCTAATTAATCCAGGTAATGGCTGGGTTGTTTTTTTGGTTTTTTTCCCCTTCAGCAGCAGTTTTCCTTTTTGTTAACACGAACAGAGAAGCGGAGAAGCGATCTCTCGAAGGATCCTGGCTGGCAGCAGCATCACCATCTGACTGAAGAGAGAACTCAGCCACACGCATAATCCTGGGGAAAATTCATCTCCACCCTCCCGCAGACCCCGGTGAGAGCCCTTGAAGTGGTAATTAAAGTCTATTGAGTGGCAACTGCACCTGTTTAGAGAGGAGAGTGCGGGTAAGAGGTGCACAAAGGGAGATGAGCAGCGCGCAGAGAGGAGCTGCTGGAGCTGGGGAGGAGGAGAAGTGGAAAGAAGGGGGGAAAGGTGTTTGTTGAAGTCGATCCAATCAGTTGTGCATTTCCATCCTGCCCTAGATTTGCTCCCGGGGTGGAAATCTGCAGTTCTGTAGGGTCTGTGAGGGCTCACAGCAGTCCCCGGTTCCTCGGGCTGGCCCTGGGACCTGCCAGCTCTTGTCCCTCTGGGTGTAAGAGGGGGATCTAGGTGCAGGCTCCAGGGAAATTCTCATTCTGAGACCCATGGCTTGATGACAGAACCGCTGGCTGCTGCTGTCACAATCCCAGTGTGACCTTAGAGGGCAGCAAGCAGGGTCCCAGGCTATCTGGGATGATGAGGCTCTAAAATTTAAGTCAAAGAGCCCTGCAAAAGCTTTTTATTGTAGGAGTAAATAATCACCCCTACATTCTACAGAGTGTAGAGATGAGGCTCTAAAACTTAAATCAAAGACCTCGGCAAAAGCTTTTTATTGTAGGAGTACAAAATCACCCCTTCCACTCTACACAGGCACTACTGATACCCTTGGCTCCCCTTACCCAACCCCAAATCCATTGTTTAGGTGGCATTAGAGCAGTAATGTGGGCTTTGTCCCTTGTCACTGCAATTCCCTGTGTGCCCAGAATGAGCTGGGCTGAACCAGGGTTCCTGGGGTGAGGACAGGAGGGGCCCGGGGTTCATCCTGAGAGCGCCCCGAGGCTGAGCTGGGCAAACGAGTCAGGCAGAAGGATTCCACCGGTGTTGGCAAATTCTTCTCTCTCACTGGGCTCGATGGCAGCCAGTCCCCTGTGAATCCCTGACCTTCACACTCCACAGGCTGCCTGGGATGGCTCACAGAAACCACAGGAGGTTTCCTCCTGTTCCTGATTGTCAGAGCACGCAGCAGCTCTGGTGTGAATGTTGTTGCGTCTGCTTTGGACAAGCCCTGTCAGCAGCACCTCTGCAGCTTCCCAAAGCTGTGCCAGGACATGTTTCGGGTTGAGAATGAGGATAGGGAAGAACTTGCACTTCACAGAATCCCAAATGGTTTGGGCTGGAAGGACAACAAAGCCCACCCAGTGCCACTGCTGCCATGGCCAGGGACACCTTCCACTATCCCAGGTAGCTCCAGGCCCCATCCAGTCCCACTGACTGTTCCAGGTGGGGTTTGACATTAGTTGGGTGTCTGATCCAACCATTGTGCCGCAGTTTGTGGAGACCGACAGACATCCCTGGACAGCAGGAAAACCTGCCAGTCAAGTCCTGTCCCAGGGTGAGAGGAATTGTTGTGCCAGCTGGGCAGGGAGGCTGCATGACAACACTGAAAGCCCCAGTGCCATAGAATCCTCCCTGAAATGCCCTCCTTGCCTCCTAAACTCCAGTGCTGTGCATGGACCAGCTCACTGGGTGGAAGGGCACCATGTGAAAACTCGCCTTGTTTCTGCCTTTTGACTCCCAAACACTCCTCTCTTGTTTTTCCCTTTTAGCCCTTCTGTCCCTCAGCCCTTTTCTCTCTCCACCTTCCCTCTGATTGCTGAGCAGCTTTTTGACTTTTCCATCAATAAGGCTAAAGAGCATTTGAACCGCTCTGGTCCCCCTTCTCTCCTCCCTCCAGTTCCAAATCAGGCAAGCTCATCGATCAGAGGAGCTCAGGAAATATCTGCTGTTTTGTTGTCAGGCTGATAATAACATTGCAGTTGTGAATGGGCTGCTGGAGGCCTGATCATGGACACCTGCAGGGTTTGTTTAATTGCATTTAATGACAAATCCTATACAGAGGAGCATTGCCAGAGAGATTTATTATCCGCCAAAGAGGCAAAGCACAACAGCTCAAAATATAATTTGCACTGAGCATTTTTCCCCCTGCCTCTCTTTAAAGCACGGTAATAAATGACAAATCGGGTAAAGTGGGAGACACGGGGCTGGGGAGGAGGTGGAGGGCAGAGGACAGAGATTGAAACCAAAGGAAATAACAGCAATAAGGCCACATTGTTCTCTCTGCCCTCCCTGTGGTCTGGTGTGCAGGAAATTCTGTTTGTTTAATTTACAGCCTGGAAGCGCAGCTGGGGATCTCTCTGTGATGAGCCTGCTCGGAGATAGCTGCAGGCCAAGAGTCCCCACTCTTTCCAGACAGGCTTTTTCCCGTCGTCTGGAGCTAAGTTTAGCTCCCATCCTTAGAAATAATTCCCAAGGAGCCTCCCAGTGTCAGGGAGAGGGGTGAGGTCCAGCTGCCACAGGACAAGGAGCCACATCCCTGAAATCTCTGGGACAAACAGGAGTGGCAGATCCCTCCCGACAAATGTCACACAGAGAAATACAGCCCCACTGAGACAGTCCAGACAAAAACCTCACATGCCTCTGAGCCTGCAATTTCTGTTTCCTACTGAACACCTACCTCACTCTGAACAGGGAACGGCTGGGTGTGAAACCAAGAGAGGAGCTCTTGCTCACATCTCTGTCTTGATTTTTACCTGACTCTCTGGCAGTGATTTGTGGTAAATCCCTTTGTGGAGCTGTGTCTCAGTACAAGGACTGAAAAGCGTCCTGGTCACCTGGAATTCCAGTCCAGCTTAGCACTTCCCAAACTGTCTTCTCTCTCAAACTCATTCTTCTTTACAATTCATTCTCTCTTCCAGTTATCTTGGGCTGAAGACTGAATTGTCCTGAGTTTCTATTTCTAAATATTGTCTCACCCCCAAGATGTTTCCACTGCATACTCACTACTGTTCCACTTGATATTCAGATTAGAATCACAGAATATCCTGAGTTGTAAAGGACTCACAAGGATCATCCAAGTGCAGCTCCTGGTTAAATTTTACCTGGGAGGTTTGGGGTGACAGCAGTTCTGTACAGAACACATCCCCCTGTGTTCAGCAGCTGGCTCAGTCCTTACACAAACAGGGTGTTGGGTGACACCTGGACCCGTTTTTATCTGATTTCCTGGACAATGGCAGTATCACTAATGCTCCCTGTTAAATAAGACCACCTGGACATCTGCTGGTATCAGCCCCAGCTATCACAAACACTCCTGCTACCTAGGCCAGCACAAAGGGCTGTTATCTCGGGGCAGCACAAATCCCCAGACTGAAACACCCATCTGGAGTTAGAATAAAGTGTCCATAGAAAGCACATATGTTATAAAAAGGAGAGGGAGGGATGGGACTGCTCCCCATGAGCTCCCACAGGGCACAGCCCCTGCCAGCAGAGCAAACCCAAACCCTCTCCTGCTGCTGCACCCTCTTCATCCTCCCAGGGAAGGAGCAGCCAAGGCTGCTGAGGAATTGTTTTATTTCTTTCCCTTTTCCCCCTCCTGCTTACAAAAGTACCCAAAACAGCTGGGTGAGGATGGGAAGAGGCTGTTCCCTGCCTGATTTCAGTGAGCAAAGCTCTGCTGGACAAGGAATGAAGTCAGATCCTTTCCATGGGTGTGAGCCAGCACTGTCCTTCCACACCTCATCCACGTGAGGGATTCACAGAGAAAACCTGGGCAGTGAAAGAAAAGCTGGGCCTGAACCAAAGATTGCTCATCAACAAATCCAGAGAAAGGGAACAGCAAAAGGGGTTTGTTTTTCTTGCTGAAATCAGCCTCTCAGTGGGATTCCAGGAATCTCTGCACTATCATTATCTTTCTCTTGGCAGAGTCCTTTTCTCCAGTGTTCCCCAGCACACATTGCATTTGCTTATTGTAGTCAGACTCAAATTCAGGTGGGAGACAGTTGTCAGAGCACTCCTGGAGAAGTTTATCCCAGGGTGAGGCAGAGGAGCCCCTGCTGAGCCCTGATGTCCCTGTAGAGTCTCTGGAGCGAGGAAATGGAGCAGAAGCTCATGGGAACAGCACAAATTGGGGAGATGATTCCAGGCAGGTTTGATGTGGGCTCAGGAGGAACGCTGCAAAGGGCAGCACCCGCCCCTGAAGGAGTGACAGGAACAAGGATTGCAGGATGAGAAGAACTGAGGAAGGATGCTGGGAGAAGACATCCCTGAGGAGGAATGGCTGCTCTCCTGGCCTGGCTCTGTGTGGAAGACTAGTGATTTTGTTGTTGTGTTTGTAAAGGTGACAACAAATCATAGCCTGCCATACAGCCCAGGCTGCCACGGCCCAGGTGTGCACGTGTTTTGGGGGGCTGGAGCTCCTGTCCTGTGAGCTGATTCTGCTCCTCATGGAGTCCAAATGTCCCCGAATTCCTTCTTTGGCCCCATTTATATCCTGTGGTCGTCCCTGGGGTCAGTTGGGTCAGTCCCAGGCACCCCCAGCCCCTCCCCAGCGTGGCTGGGCAAGGACAGGAAAGGCTTTGGCTCTGAGTGAGCTCAGCAAGAACAAAAACATCTCTGAGTTATCAGCACAAACCCAAACACAGCCCCAGAGCAGCCACTGAGAAGGAAATTCACTCTGCCCCAGCTGAAAGCAGCACAGGAGCCAAGGAACCCCCCAAACACACCAGAGCAGGGTCAGGGCACCCAGACACTGCTGGGCCTTCAGTGCCTGGCACGGCTCGTTTGGAGAGCTGAGCCCTTTGCTTCCAGCAGGGCCTTAAAATATAAAAAGAACAAATTTTCAACACCACTCAGAGCCTCCATTCTCAAAGGTATTTAGGTGTGAAAATGAAACTCTTGAATCCTGCTGAGGCCAGTGGTAAAAGCACTGAAATATCTTTAATAATTTGGGTTGTTCATGCTGTCGAGCACTTTTCTCTTTTTCCTTTTTATTTCTTTAACTCCCCTGGCTCAGCATTGTCCACATCACTGGCACTGTGGCAGGTGTGATTTAGGAATCACAGAATGGTTTGGGTTGGAAGGACCTTAAAGCTCTCCCAGTGCCACCCTGCCATGGCAGGGACACCTTCCCCTATCCCAGGCTGCTCCAAGCCCTGATGTCCAACCTGGACATTCCAGGGATGCAGGGACAGCCAGAAATCTGCTGCCAGAAGAGTTTTAAACCTACAAATTGCTGTCATTTGATAGTGCCTGAAAGGAAAGATGCAGGTTTCATAAACCACAAGGACTCTCTCTGCCTGTTTTTTACTTCCCCACTGACAGATTAAATCCACACCAAAAGGGCAGCAGTGCAGCCATTAACGCTGCGATGGCCGGGCTGGTGTCTGATGCAAATGAAACTTTGATTTAGTGTTCCCCCAGAAGCCTCCCCAGCGTGTTCATCCTCGGCAGGCTGATCAAAATCCCCCCTCCCAGGTACCTGCAGCCTTGTGCCCCACAGAAGCACAGAAAATAATGTCATCAGAGCCCTGCTGATGGAGGCAGTTACAGGACAAAGGCCCTGCAGCAAGGTGGGGATTGGGTCATCGTTCCTGCTAATGTCAGGGTGCCATTTCTCCCTATTTTTAGAATTGTTCCCTTTGTACAGCAAATTGCTTAACTAGAGACAATCTGGTGTTCACCGGCTCTGGGAGCAGGGACCCATCTCTCCTGCCTTCAGGAAATCACACAAACTGCTGAAAGCTGGAGATGGATAAAACCTGGGTACACAGGAACCTCCATTTACACTGAAAAACCTGAGGAGCTGCTGCAGCCCTGGCTGAGCAAAAAGGAAATTTCTGCAGGTTTCTAAATTATCCACTCTCTGCTTCAGAAGGAACTCAGGGATTCAATAAATCACTATGGACTCTGCTCCTAAATTATTTTGATGCTTTTGGAAGTCTTAGCACAGCTCCAAACTTCTCCACATTTTGAGGGACGAGATGGGGAACAATGGATCAGGAATTCTGGAGCCTTTCACACTGAGGATGTTCCAAACCATCCATCCCAGCCCTTTGTTGTTCTCCACATTGTACCCCGTGGTTGTCCCAGACACCTCGGCACGGACTGAAGCTCTTGGGCTTCAAAGCCCAGCAAACACGAGCTGTAAATTCCGAGTTTGCAGCCTAAATAAGCCAGGCAGGCAGAGAACAGTTATTATTCCTGTGTTATTGGCAGGGAATTGAGACACAGGAAGATTAAATGACTGGCCCAAGGTCACCAAAGGAGCCTTCAGTAAAGGTGAGGGCTCAGCCTGGATTTCTGAAGTCTCTGCCCAGTACTTCAGCCATCCATTCACTTGCTCTTTAAGTACCCTGTCATTATTTCTGTGAAGGAAATTATGCTCCTCCTGCAGCAGCCAGCACCGTGTAATTCTGCTTGTCTGAAAGGGAATATGAAATGGCAGTTTCACAAAAAATTAACCCTCCTGCCACGCAGCCTGGCAGCCCTGTCACAACGTCTCATTTTTTATCTGCTCTTCCTCCCCTGGGGATTTAACTCCCCTCTTATTCCCAGAACTCTGGCTGGGGCTTTTTCTGTGCTATCCCAAAAACCCTACACGGGTGTCCCCTGTGGGGTCTGCAGGGAGGGATGTGGGGGCTCAGAGCCTCCTGTTCCTGCCCCAGCTGTGGGGATTCACCCAATTCCTGAGCTGGGGAGGATCCTGGCAGCTCCTGGGAGGAGCAGCAGCAGCTGGAGCTCAGCTGGAACACCTGGGAGCAGCCACAGGTCCCTGGCACCCTCAGGGGGTGGCACAGATCACCTGGGAGCAGCCACAGGTCCCTGGCACCCTCAGGGGATGGCACAGATCACCTGGGAGCAGCCACACATCCCTGGCACCCTCAGGGGGTGGCACAGATCACCTGGGAGCAGGTACAGGTCCCTGGCACCCTCAGGGGGTGGCACAGATCACCTGGGAGCAGCCACACATCCCTGGCACCCTCAGGGGGTGGCACAGATCACCTGGGAGCAGGTACAGGTCCCTGGCACCCTCAGGGGATGGCACAGATCACCTGGGAGCAGCCACAGGTCCCTGGCACCCTCAGGGGATGGCACAGATCACCTGGGAGCAGCCACAGGTCCCTGGCACCTTCAGGGGGTGGCACAGATCAAGGGGAGCAGCCACACATCCCTGGCACCCTCAGGGGGTGGCACAGATCACCTGGGAGCAGCCATAGGTCCCTGGCACCCTCAGGGGGTGGCACAGATCAAGGGGAGCAGCCACAGGTCCCTGGCACCCTCAGGGGGTGGCACAGATCACCTGGGAGCAGCCATAGGTCCCTGGCACCCTCAGGGGGTGGCACAGATCACCTGGGAGCAGCCACAGGTCCCTGGCACCCTCAGGGGATGGCACAGATCACCTGGGAGCAGCCACACATCCCTGGCACCCTCAGGGGGTGGCACAGATCACCTGGGAGTAGCCACACATCCCTGGCACCCTCAGGGGATGGCACAGATCAAGGGGAGCAGCCACAGGGCCTGGAGGGGCTCCAGGAGAGCTGGAGACAGAACTGGGACAAAGGACGGAGGGACAGCACACAGGGAATGGCTTTCCAGGGACAGAGGGCAGGGCTGGGTGGGATTTTGGGAAGGAATTCCTGGCTGGCAGGGTGGGCAGGCCCTGGCACAGGGTGCCCGAAGCAGCTGGGGCTGCCCTGGATCCCTGGCAGTGCCCAAGGCCAGGCTTGCATCTGTGATCTATAAAAGGTTTGGGGTGAGTTCCTGAGGCTCCAGCACGTTCCACACCCAGGGATCTGCAGGGAGAGGCTGCTGTGCCACTTCTCCTCCTGCTCTTTATTCCCTCCTTACTGAGAAATCTCTTATTAATGGCAAACCCATTTCCATCAGCTGCGCTTTGCCCCACGACGTCTCTGAGCCCACCCAGAGCTGGGTTTGGGACCTAAAAACCTGCGTGGCGTTCTGGTGAATTCCTAATGGATTCTGTGGAGGGGAAATTAATAGGAAGCTTTGGTTAATAGATACTTCAGATAAAAGAGCGAGTGCATCTGGTCACCATGGCAACACGAGAGCCAGCGGGGAGAGGAAATGTCACCGTGTCTGTGCCTTGACCCGCAGCACAAACAGCCTGGCAGCTGGGGGTGGCACTGCCTGTGCTCACAGGGGACAGGGACCCTCCCAGGCTGGGTATTCACAGCCCAGGAGTGCCCTGACACACCACACGTGTCCACAGGGAACTCGTGGGGCTTTTTCTGGGTGCAAACATGATGAACTCGTGCCCAGAGTTGTGTTTCCACAGCCCCGAGGGAGAGGTTGGACTTGGTGGTCCTGAGGGCTATTACAGCGACCTGATGAAGGCCTCCAGGGTGAGAGAAGGACGAGAATCTTGTTTGATGATCAGAAGGCTGGATTTATTGATATATGATATATAATACATTATAACTATACTAAAACGAATAAGGAGAGAAGTTGCAGAGGCTGCTAAGCTAAGAATAGCATAGAAAAGAATGAATAACAAAGTTCTGTGTCCAGCAGAAAGCAAGGACAAACTCTCCTGTGAGTGGTCAGCAAATCCAAACACTCACAGAAGCCAAATCACTGCTGCACCTGATGCATTCCACACCAGCCGATAACAATTGTTCACATTCTTCTTCTGGGGCCTCACCTTCTCAGAAGATGAACAAATCCCAAGGAAAGGATTTCTATGAAAAAATGTCTGTGACAGAGGGCTTTTCCAAGCTGAAGGGTTCCTGGTTCCTCCTGCCCTTGCTCAGCACAGACAGCCTGCAGGTGTTCAAGGCACCTTTGCCCCTTTTCTTCTCAAACACAAAGTCGCTGTGCCACAGAATTCCAGGAAGTTTTGGGCTGGAGGGACCTCAAAGCCCATCCAGCCTCACCTCAGCCATGGCAGGGACACCTCCCACTGTCCCAGGTGCTCCCAGCCCAATGTCCAGCCTGGCCTTGGACATTCCAGGGACCCAGAGGCAGCCCCAGCTGCTCTGGGAATCCCATCCCAACCTCCCAGGGAACAATCCCCAAGCACAGACCTGCAGTGGGAATTGTGCCACGGACACTCTGCTCCAGGAGCAGCTGCTGCTGCTGCTCCCGGGGACTTGCAGAAGCTGCTGGAGTGAAAATTGGGCTCCTGCTGCCTGTTATGCAAAAGCAGTTTCTTAGCAACAAAAGTGATATTCTGTGTGAAGGCAACAGGCATCAGTGGGATAATCCACTGTAATTCCAGACAAGACCTAAAACGGGTGGATGGACTGAATAATAATAATCATGACAGACAGAATAATAATAATGGAAATAATGAGACTAAGCTTATTTCCCTGGGTAGGAAAAACTCAGCTATAAATAAAATACAATGGGAGAAACCCTGTGCCAGTTCTCTGTATAAAGATTAGGGACACCTAAACTCAATTTATGCCCTAAAAATGGACTCTGGTGAGTAAAGCTTTGCTCATATAAGCCGAGCTATTTATTGCTTGAGTGTTTTCCCTCACTCTGGGCAGGTATTGTCGCTCAGGGATGGAGTGAGCTGGACCTAATGCCCCGTGGGGGAAATTGGAGCGACTAAATCTGTGTTCGCTGGTGGAGACGAGGCTTTGCCACTTCCAAGGCAGGAAACTCGTACTTTAAAATGCACCACCAGAGCTGTGCAGGGCCGCAGACTGGCCTGCGTCATCCATGTGGCTCCGTTACAGCTCAGGACATTATGGCTTCATAAAACCTGCAATTAAACCACGTCACATTAATGCTATGCAGCCGCTGTGTTTTGAAGTGCCATAACATCAAGGGATTTAAGAGAAATAAAACCGCTATGAAAGCAGCACATGCTGAGAGTCTCAGACACACCTGGACAGCGCCTGGGCCGCGCGGGGCGCGCTGGGAAGTGTAGTCCTGGCTCTGGTACAATCCCGTTAGCGGCGCTACCGCAGCGGGCCGAGAAAACTACGCTGCCCAGCATGCCACGCAATGAGAGAGTGCACATCCTTCCCACCTCTCCCCCCGCCCGCTCTGCCTTCTGGGAAACAGAGTGCGCACGGTGCGGCGTCGGCTGAACGGCGCCGCTCCCGGGACTACAATTCCCATCATCCCCCGCGCGTCCCGCTCCGCCCCGCGCGGCGCCATTTTGTTCCGCGGCGCAGCCTGAGATGGCGGCCGGGCCCGGGCGGTGAAGGTCCCGCCGCACTGAGGGCAGGGGGGTCCCGCCGCCCCCCGCCCGCCCCGCGCCGCGCTGGGGCTGCGCCGCCGCCGCCTGCAGGCGGCCGCTGGCGCCATGGACCTGCGCACGGCCGTGTACAATGCGGCCCGCGACGGGAAGCTAAAGCTGCTGCAGAAGCTGCTTGGCAGCCGCAGCCGGGAGGAACTGGAGGCACTGACGGCGGGGCCCGGCGGCGGGGGCGGCCCCGGGGCCGGCAGCACCCCGCTGCTGATCGCGGCCCGGCACGGGCACCTGGAGGTGGTGGAGTACCTGCTGGATCACTGCGGGGCCCGCGTGGAGGAGGGCGGCTCCGTCAGCTTCGACGGTGAGACCATCGAGGGGGCCCCGCCGCTGTGGGCGGCCTCGGCTGCGGGGCACCTGGGCGTGGTGCGGAGCCTGCTGGACCACGGCGCCTCGGTGAACCAGACCACCCTGACCAACTCCACCCCGCTGCGGGCCGCCTGCTTCGATGGGCACCTGGAGATCGTGCGGTACCTGGTGGGCGAACGCGGGGCCGACCTGGAGGTGGCCAACCGGCACGGCCACACGTGCTTGATGATTTCCTGCTACAAAGGGCACCGGGAGATCGCCCGGTACTTGCTGGAGAAAGGGGCCGACGTGAACCGGCGCAGCGTGAAGGGAAACACGGCCTTGCACGACTGCGCCGAGTCGGGCAGCCTGGAGATCCTGCAGCTGCTGCTCCGCTCCAAGGCCCGCATGGAGAAGGACGGCTATGGCATGACCCCTCTGCTCGCCGCCAGCGTCACCGGCCACACCAACATCGTGGAGTACCTGATCCAGGGGGGGCTGCAGCAGGACGAGGCTGCGGGGGGCTGCGCCTCAGGTGGGAGCCATCAGAGGGGCTGCACTGAAGAGGGCTGCGAGGGCTGCGGTGCTTCGGCTTCCGGTCAGGACGAGGTCCCGAACGTGTTCTGCACTCGAGAGGCTGCCGTGGAAGCGCTGGAGCTGCTGGGGGCCACGTTTGTGGACAAGAAACGAGACCTGTTGGGAGCCCACAAGTACTGGCGCAGGGCGATGGAGCTGCGCTGCGAGGGCGGCAAGTACCTGCCTAAGCCTGAGCCCCGGCAGCTGGTGCTGGCCTACGACTACTCGCGGGAGGTGAGCTCTCTGGAGGAGCTGGAGGCCCTGATCACCGACCCCGACGAGATGCGCATGCAGGCGCTGCTGATCCGGGAGCGCATCCTGGGCCCGTCCCACCCCGACACCTCCTACTACATCCGCTACCGCGGCGCCGTCTACGCCGACTCGGGCAACTTCGAGCGCTGCATTAACCTGTGGAAGTACGCCCTGGACATGCAGCAAGGCAACCTGGAGCCCCTCAGCCCCATGACTGCCAGCAGTTTCCTTTCCTTTGCCGAGCTTTACTCCTACGTGCTCCAAGACCGTTCCAAAGGCACTTTAGCCACCCACCTGGGCTTCTCCGACCTCATCGGAGTGCTGAGCAAGGGGGTCCGGGAGGTGGAGAGGGCCCTGGTGCACGGCAAGGATCCCGTGGCCGACTCGGCGCAGTTCACCAAGACCTTGGCCATCATCCTGCACCTGGTGTTCCTGCTGGAGAAGGTGGAGTGCACCCCGGAGCAGGAGCACCAGAAGCGCCAGACCATCTACCGCCTGCTCAAGTGCAGTCCCCGCGCCAAGAACGGTTTCACCCTCCTGCACATGGCCGTGGACAAGGACACCACGACGGTGGGGCGGTACCCCGTGGGCAAATTCCCGTCCCTGCACGTGGTGAACTTGCTGCTGGAGTGCGGGGCGGACCCGGACAGCCGGGACTATGACAACAACACCCCCCTGCACGTGGCCGCCCGCAACAACTGCCCGCTGATCATGAGCGCCCTGATGGAGGCCGGGGCGCACATGGACGCCACCAACGCCTTCAAGCAGACGGCCTACGAGCTGCTGGACGAGAAGCTGCTCACCAAGAGCACCATGCAGCCCTTCAACTACATCACCCTCCAGTGCCTTGCTGCTCGCGCCCTGGACAAGCACAAGATTCCCTACAAGGGATTCATCCCCGAGGAGCTGGAAGCCTTCATTGAGCTGCACTAGGGCGTGACACGATGGTCCCCAGCCTGTCCCAGCCCGCTGAGGTTGTGCAGTTGGAGGGCTCGGGCTGGCTGTGCCAAAGTGCCCAGGGCTGTCGCTGTGCTGAGCTTTGTCCCCATCTGTCACCACCCAGCTGGCTGTCGGGGCAGGGGAGGAGGAGGAGGCCCCAGAGGTCATGGCGCTGTCCCTCGTTGTCACCTTCGGGTACCAGCTCTCTCCAGTGCACTCTGTCCACAGAGGCCACAGCCCCTGCCCTTCCCCGTGCCACCATCGTGTCCTGAGGAGGATGGAAATGGAGATTCCCTGGGACCTGCTGCCTCTCCCATTAGTGCTGGATTAACTCAGTGTTCAGCTTTGGAGCAGCTACACATCCCCCACGTGCTCTGGCCCTTCCCACCCCACACACCCAACAGATAGAAAGTGAGTGAGGAATGAAATTCCTCCAGTTAATCCCTTCCCCTCCCTCCTGTCAGGTTTGGGACAGCCCATGCCCAACAGCTGAGGGGCTCCTGCCCAGGGATGGCACAGGGCTGGGTGTGCTGAGGATGGGGTTTGTCTCTCTCTTGGTTGGCCAAGTAGCAAATGGTGTTAAAGGCCTGAGATTTCCATGATTGTGCATAAAGCTGGGATGTTTTTTCTCTCGTAGAGCCAGGCCCTATCTATGCTGCAAGACTTCTCCAATCCTGTAAGATAGAGGAAGGTCAGTTCTGGTTATACAGTTTCATCCATAGATGTTGTAGTTTATGAATGGGGAGGAAAACACTAAGAACAAAACCCTGATGTGGTGTTCAGGCCCTTGGCTTGTCCATTCACACCCATTTGCTCCATTCCCAGCATGAACGTGCTTTGGCTCCAGCAGGGATTGAGCTGGAAGGGTGAACGTGGATGGTTTGGGAGCCAAAACAGCACATTTTGAGCTACTTTCAAAGCTGAGCTCTTGCAAACCCTTTAGGCCAGGAGGTCCCTGCAGTGTGGAGGTGCTTGGAGGGGGCTGTGAAAGCAAGTGAGTGTCTGTGGTGGGTTTGCACCAGGATGGGCTGAGGGAAGAAGCAAGAAATGAAAGTTGAAGGTGCCTCCTTGTCCTTCTGAGGTTTTACTATCATGTGCTTGGGCTCTGTTATTGCCCCATTCTGAAACCTCATGCAGTGGGTTCTTAGCAGCTGGTTTGGGCTTTTGAGTATTTTTTTTTCCTTTTTTTTTTTAATTTTTTTTTTTTGTAACTTCACTGAGGATGGTGCTACTTCCAAGGTGGAATTTGAAATCTCACCTGGCTGCTGTTTGGGCAAGCTCCTTCCTTTGATGAGGATCTGCACACACACACACACCTTGTTTTTAACTCTGTAGTCTCAGGGCAGGTTTTTGCCTCTTATGAGCAGACCCCTCCGTGGTGGAAAACAAAGAGTTTCCAGCAGTTTGTCCTCATGCAGGCGGTGATGGGCAGCCTGTGGCTCCTTCCCTGGCCCTGAGCAGGGTGGGAAGCACAGCTGAGAGGGGGAGCAGCTGCCTGGAGCTCTGGGAAGGGCCCACCTGGGAGAGCAGACCCCTGGCCCCAGCCTCGCTCTCTGTGCTACTGAAGCTTCTCTACTTGTATTTATCAGCCTCAATAACCACGCTCTCTGCCCCTTCAAGGTATTGTAGATCTGCCAGCACATTTTGCAGTGTTAACTATAACATTTATTTATAAAGCCAGGAGGTTTAACTTGAATTGAGCTGTAAAGTGCAGAGTTAGTTTAGCTGCCTTCTATTTTTATTTTTTTTTTCCTTTTGGCTGAAACCTGAACTAAACTGCAGGAATGGGATTTGTTCCTTTGTGAGCTGATGAGCGCTCTTAACTTTAAATAATAAAACAAAAAATGGCTGCTAGAATGCAAGTGCCTTGGACTTCTTCGTGATAAGGCTCTGTATTCAGGTGTTTTCCTCTATTTTCAGTTTGTTTCCCAGGGATGGGACACTGTAGGTGTGGAATTCTGGGATGTTTGCAATTAAATAGGTGAGATTGGTTCATTTCATGGTTACTCCTGTGAAAAACCAAACTGCTGCATTGGCAAACTTCCCCTGGAAAAGAGTAACAGTGACACACTGAAATTACACCTCTTCTTCCATGTTTTGCTTTATATTTTGATGCAATTCAAACAACATGAGAGGATCTGTGTTGATTCAGGAATTACCTGCCTTACACATGTGGGACAGTGGGCACAGCGAGCAGAAGGAGGGACACTGTCTTCAGTTTGGTTTCCAACCCCAAATCCATCAGGGATTATAAAACCAGAGGAATTAATGGTACTGGAGCTAGTTCCACACAGAGACCTGGATCCCAAAACTGCTTGGTCTTCCCCAGGGAGGGTGGGTGGATAAAATATTTGAATGTTTGTCCTGTTGTTTATTGCTCCATCCTTAATTCTTGCTGAAGGATGGTGCCCTTGTGTAAAAATGCCATTTAAGCAGTGTCTGTAGAGCCTGGGGCTGTGCTTGTCCCATTCCTCCTGTGCTGCAGGTGATGTCCAGGTGTGGAGAGCAGCTGCCAGGTGGCCTCAGGGCAATTCCATCTGCAGCCAGAGAGGTGGGAGGGAAGGGGTTAATCCAGGCAGGAGCAGCTCTGGAGCTCTCCTGGTCAGGGAGCTGGGGGACCCAGTCAGGTGCAAGAGCCCCAAGGAGGAGAAAATTCTGTGTGATGGAAAAAGCTTCACTTTTTTAAACACGCAAATAATCTGTAATTACATAGAGGGCCCAGCAATTAAATGTTGATAGTAATTACAGGGTGGAAGAAATCACTGCATGATTTAGGGGTAATTACACTGAACAGGCCTGATTGACTGTAGGGCCAGCTCCATGTGGGCAAAACACGGAGTTGTGAGGAGCAGGGCAACGTTTCAGTGATTATTTTGTTAATTCTTGGACAGACGGGAGCTTTTCCTCCGCTGTGGTGGCTGCAGAGCCTCCTGTACCCCAGCCACAGCTCTGCCTCCCCTGTGTGTGATCCAGGCACGCTGGATGTGGCTCTGTGAGGTTGTTTACAAGCTGGAGCAGCTTCCAGCTGACTAATTTTGCATGATTATTTATAGTAGGAGAGAAGCTGGGAAGGGAGGGGTGTGGGAGGGCTCCCAAGGGGAGGGACTGTCCTGCACCAACAGCAGGGGACAGGAACTGCACTGACACAACAACTCTGGATGGTGCTGTGGAGGAGAGAAACCAGGAAAATCAAAGGAAATCGAGCACTTGGAGGATGCCAGAAGCTCTGGAAGGAGTGGATGAGTTAATCCATTGTCACTGGGTCCTGCAGAGTTAAAATCCAGTCTTTGAGAGCTGGAAACCAAGAGTTGGGGGCAGCTCAGAGCCTCCTCCAAGGATTTCATAACATCTGTCTCACTCAGGGGCTGGCTTGGGGCTCAGAGGGCTCTGGGACCAAGGCTGCAGTGTGGAATAAAAATTAACCCTGACAGGGCAGGGATGGGCTTGGATCCTCCTGGAACCTGCTGGGACAGCCAAGGAGCACCCACAGACCTGCAGGGCTACCTGCAGTGGGGTCACTGCAATGGGGGTGACCCTGCAATGGGGTCACTGCAATGGGGGGTGACCCTGCAATGGGGTCACTGCATTGGGGGGTGACCCTGCAATGGGGTCACTGCAATGGGGTCACTGCAATGGGGGGTGACCCTGCAGTGGGGTCACTTCCCTGTACTGATCCCAGGGCCCTCCACGTTAGCAGGGAGTGGCTCCTGGAGCTCTGCCCTGCTCCTGGACAGGCTGAGCTGGCTCCGGGCTCTGCTCCAAGAGGGAACAGCCCCATTTCCGTCTCTCCCTGGCTTTGGGGTGACCTCTGCTGACGATCAGGAAAATGGCTGAGCCTGGAGCATGGGAGGAGGAGCGAGGGCTTTGCCCCAGGTGCCCTCCTGGTGTTAAAGCTCAGTAGGTACCACCCTGGTAGATCCCTTGCTCAGATCCTGCAGAATTTCCCCTCCCACTCTCCATTCCTGGATTTCTCCACCCTTCTGCACTATTCTGCTCACTGGTTTTGGCTTTTCATTCTGCTTTTTCCTTAAAGGCAGCTTCCCAAAGCATCCCTTGCAGATTGGCCCTCAAATCATTCGGTCAGTGCCATCTCCCAGCCCCTCCAGCCAACATGCAGAATAGTTTTCCATATATCCCTTACAATCCCTTTTCTAATTCTTCAGGAACGAACCAGAAGAACATAAATAAATTAATTAAAATTTATTTATAAAATCTTCAAGTAGTTCCAGACAATCAAGAAAATAATTTTCTCACTTACTTGAAAATAAGCACAAGGAAAAACATTTTCAAGAGATCACCACGTCTTTTTTCCAACAAAAATTGAAGAATTTTCTTCTGTGCTTCAGGAAAATGCCACTCTTGATGCATGGAATAACAGTCCCAGTGCCAGCAGAATCACTGTAACCCAGGATTTGAAGTGGATTTTGTCTCTGGGTCAGAGGTTGTGCCTGGGTTGCTCCTGGCTGTGCCCTGGCCCAGGTGGGGCAGTTCCCACCTGCATCATGTTGTGGTTCCCGATCTGGACCATGCTGGCATGTTGGATGATGAGGGGTGCCTGGCCTGGTGTGAGGTTGTAGTGGCCTGGGGGCAGCTGTGCTTGGGAAGGGGGAGGACCCCTGTGAGCAGGAGGGGGGTCCAGGGGGCCAGGGGGACACCAGGGTTGGGCTGATGGCCTTGGTGGCACTGCTGGAGGCACCCAGGGAGGGGAGCCCAGGCTCAGGGCAGCCAGGTTCTGCTGGGCTCGGTGCTGTTCCCAACGTGCCTGGAGCTTCCTCCTCTGCAGCTGCTCCCACATGGCTCTCTTCTCACTGATCCTCTCGGGGTTAAACGTGTTCTGCACTTTCCTGGAGAAGAGAGGAGAACTCTCATCCAGGGTGACGAGTGCACTGAGCACCTTGGGGATCTGGCTGCACTCCAGGGCGTTTGCCTTGGGTAGAAATGGGATGACTGAGTCCAGCTTGGAGGGGTCCAGGATGGACTGCATCAGAGCAGTGTCTGTGTGGTACAGGCACAGCTTGCAGGCAAAGTTCTTGGTCAGCAGGAGGATGATGAAGGCAGAGTTCTCCAAGGCGTCCTGGAAGCAGCTCATGTGGCTGCGCCCGGCAATGAAGAAATCCTCACTGAGTGTGGCACCCTTGGGCACCCCCATGCTCTCCAGCAGGTCCTTGACCTCGAGGGCCACAAGCTCATCTTCACTGGCGTGCAGGACAACAAATGTGAAGAACTTGGCACCATCTGGCTCTGCTGGATCCGTGGCTGGGGGAGCAGGAGGCCTGGCTGGAGAGGGGGATGGAGGCAGGGGAGGGGGATATGATAGTTTGGAGGAAGATTCCTGAAGAGGAGGAAGAGTTGAGGAGAAGGAATAAGTAGGAGGAGGAAGGGAACGGGTTGAAATAGAAGCAGAGTTACAGGGAATGCCTGCTGGAATGTAGGAGCCCTGGATGGACACCAGGGCAGGGGCAGTATCCACTGCAGCCCTTGAGTCAGGGACATCAGCAGGTAATTGCTTTTCATGCTGCTTTTCCCTCGGTGTGTGGGGCTCTGTCACTGTGCTGGACACGTCACTGCTTTGGGCAGGCTCCGAGGGCAGCGGTGTCTCAGGAACGGGGAGAGGGCTGGGGTGACAGGGACTGGCCTGCAGCACCTTCTCTGGCTGGGGCTCTTGGCGAGCTGTGCCCTGCCCAGGAGGGGCAGAGCTGGGGGTGCTGGCCCAGCTGGATTCCTGTGGGTCATGGCTCTCTGTGTCCCCGTTGGGGTGTCCAGCACGGCTGGGCCAGGGGACACGCTCAGGGACAGAGGGCTGGGTGTGAAAAGCAACTGTTGGTGATGCACTGATCTCCAGACAGCTGGACAGGGAGGAGCTCCCCGCAGAGCACAGGGTCCGTGGGCCTGAAAGGTCTGAGCTGCCTGTGATCCCCACTGGTGAGCTCCTCACCATGCAGTGGGAGCTGGCTGTGTGGGGAAATCCTGCGTCCTCGTGGGATCTCAGTGTCCCAAACCTGTCCCCTGAGCCCCCGCTGGCTGCAGAGCCCTCATTGTCCTGTTCCTCGGGTGGGATGTTGTTGGGTGTCCCCCGCTGGGTGTCCTTGCTGGCGTGGCAGGCTTTGTCCCTGGCCTCAGGACTGCACAGCTGTTCCTGTGCCAGCACCGTGTACACCTGTGCCAGCAGTGCCACGGCACCTGCATCCAGCTGGGGAGGCTGCAAATCCTCTCCGTTTTCCTGCGCTCCTGCAGTGCCCAGTTTGATCTGCTGGATGTACTGGGCTGCCTGGTTGTCCCTCAAGGCATCCAGACAAATTCTTGCATCCGTTTCTTGCCCCAGAGTGAGCAGGACCATGGCTTGCAGTAACTTGCTGCAGGGCCCAGGTACCAGGTACTTCAGTTTGTGTTTGAGGCTCAGCAGTTTCTCTGCTGGGACCTGGGACAGGATGTTGAACACGTCCTCGAAGCTGGGCTGCAGCTCAGCGCTCTGTGCCATCTCAGCAGCTGCTGGCCCAGGTCACAGACTGGAGCAGGGATGGGAAAAGCATCTTCTGGCAGAAGGTTGGCAGTACCCCACTCACACTCCTGGTACCACACAAACCTTCAGTGCCCGGGGTCTCTCAGTGCTGGCAATCTGTGAGGAGAACAGAGGACAGCGTTCAGAGGGGTGCTGTGGCCACTGGGGATGCTCTGGAGCTGCCAGGCTCTCTTCTCTCACACCTCCCAAATGTTTCTGCATCTGTTCCGTGCCTGCAGCTGTGCCACTGCTCTGTGCATTATTCCAACTCTGTGATTAAGCAAAGAGAGCACATTCTTTGCATTCATTTCACATTAATTACAACTGGTTTGAGATAGTTGATGAAATAATGCTATATTTAGGTAAATCCAAGTGTCTCCTTCAGGCAGCTGGTTCCAGGGGGTCTTGCAGGCTCCTTGTGCTGGCAGTCAAGGAATGAAACCGGTGTAGAGGAAACCCTTGCCAGCCGATAACCTGTGTTATCAGGGAAGAGTCACAGGAAAGAATTCCTGCCCAATATCCCACCCAGCCCTGCCCTCTGGCAGTGGGAGCCATTCCCTGTGTCCTGTCCCTCCATCCCTTGTCCCCAGTCCCTCTCCAGCTCTCCTGGAGCCCCCTTCAGGCCCTGCAAGGGGCTCTGAGCTCCCCCTGGAGCTTCTCCTCTCAGGTGAGCACCCCCAGCTCTCCCAGCCAGCCTCCAGAGGGGCTCCAGCCCTGGGAGCAGCTCCAGGGCCTCCTCTGGCCTCTGTCCCAGCAGCTCCACGTCCTTCTTTCATTGGGAGACTTTATATCCCCATCCACAGGTGATCCCGGAGCGCTTGCACTCACCCCAGGCCTCTGATGGGATTTTAATTAAACAACAGCAGTGTCTGGAGGGGAGGAGTGGGGTCCCACACTGCTCCAGGCACTCCCTGAGCCTGCTGCACAATATTTCCCTATTTAAAGGCAGCCCCAGCAAACGCCCCGAAATAACTCTCAGCTAGAGAGAAACTTTCCAATTTCAGTTTTGTTTTCCTGTCTCATGAAAAGCCTGCAATTGCCCAATTGCCCTTCCTCCCTTCCCGGGGCCGGGGTGGCACGGCCGGGCTGCAGGAAGGGGAAGGAAGGGGAGCAGCCGGGAGGGGAAGGGAATGGAAGGGAAGGAGGGGAGCAGCCGGGAAAGGAGGGAATGGAAGGGAAGGGAAGGAGGGGAGCAGCCTACCTGCGGCCGGTGCCCGGGACACGCGGAAGCGGCGCGGGCCGATGAGGGCGGGCGGGGCAGAGCGGGGCGGAGCAGGAACCGGCACCGGGACAGCACCGGGAACCTCAGCACGAGGGCCCTGCCCGGGGGAGCCACCCCCACCTTCCCCAGCCTGAGGTGACACAGAGCGCTGGGGACAGGCAGGGACCGAGCTTCCCCTGCGGGCACTGCTGGAATAGGGACGAGCAATGCAGAGCCCAGGGATGAGGATGAACAGTGGGGCATGGACAGATGCACCTGAGCCTCAGGAGTACAGGTCAGGAAAATAAAACAATTAAGGTATCTTTCTGGTTAAGAAAGCATGGGATCTGCTAAAGGCATGTTGTTTTTTCCCCCTCCAGCAAGAGCAGGGGACAGATCAGCTGGCCAGGGACAAGAGTTGGTAAAGGCAAAGCTTCATCACAAGCAAGTACAGGGAACAGACCAGCTGGCCAGGGACAAGAGTTGGTAAAGGCAAAGCTTCATCACAGCTCAGGTAAGAGGAGAACAGAGAACACAACCCCACAGCTTTAGGTACACACAAACCCCCATGGTTTTGAACACAGGTCACGCTTTATTCCAGTGTCTGCTCACCAGCCCTGTGCCAGGGACAAGGCCAGGAACAGTTACCCAAATAAGTTACATTAGGAATTATTACAAAGTAGCATTTTCTGGGAAAGAACCAGCACCTGGATAAAAATCCCTCCTATTTTAATAACAGGATATCCTAATGGCAGAGTAACTCCTGGGAAAAGCTGCCTCATTTAATGGTTGTGAAGTGTTTCACACATGGAGTTACTCACAGATAATCCTTCAAGTCATTCACAGAAATTAGAAAGATGATTAAGGAAAACCCCACACTGCCGAGTGCTTCTCCATGAAGGAAGAAGAGTTTGGCTGATCCATGAAGAGAAATCTCTTCTTGAGCTCCTTGCCCCCAGCTGTGCCAGATGTGCTGCAGGGCCGAGCCTTCCCAGAAGCACAACAGGCACAAAGGAAGTTGTGTCTGAACCTGTATTTTTAAATGTGGAGAAGGTGGGAGATGGTATCAAAGGTCAAGCATAGCATCTTCTCAAGAGTTCCACAGCTTGGGCAAATTAAAAACAGATCCAGCATTAAAAACAAATTGAGATCACTTCTCTCCCACAACTTGTCTCAGCAAGACTTAGGCACTCACAGCTACAGCTGGGCTGAGTTAAAAAGCTGCAGTGCAGGTCCCATCTCCCCTTTCAGCACAGCAGTTAGATTTAAAAACAGTAAATCAAGATTCAGAATCTCCCCACCTTGGTTATCAGACCTCCTTACAACTACATCTGACGCTAAATTCAGAGAGCAGAGGCACCCATGGCACAAGTGGGCACACAATTAGAAGATCCAGTGCTGTTCTAGCCAAGTAGCCTTGGCCAGAAGAGCTGGGATTTATCAGAGATCTTCCTTTGCTGCACTGGTTTTTATCTCCTTTGCAGCCAGGGCCACCTCTGTGTCCTTCCCTACCTTCTCCTCCAGCTTGTCTAGCACTTCATACCATTTCTCTGAGAGCCTGTTGGTTCCCTTTGGCTCTTCAGGTGCCTTTGTCACCTCCTGTGATAGCGGAGCCTTTTCCAACTTGGGTAATTTTCTATCACACCTCATCTCTTCCTTCTTGTGCCTTCTGCTGTCCTGTGCCACCTTGGCCATGGCCCTGAAGGGCCCCACAATCCAGTTCAGAGGGGTGTTGTGAGTGACAAACTCAAAGAGGACATCCAGGGACCTGCGGGCCTCCGCCACGCGGTCCTGGCTGCGGGCCAGGGTGGTTCTGGAGAGGTCCTGGAAGGACACGGCCCTGGAGAAGGAGCTGTGGAGCTTGTGGATGTGTCTTGTGGCCCGAGACACGGCCTCCTGGATGCTGCTGGGGAGGCCGTGGATGCTGAGCCTGAGGCGGTGGTAGGCGGGCTGCAGCTGCTGGGTGATGATCCTCAGCATGGCCAGGGTGCGCGGCTCCACCTGCCGGGAGAGAAGAGCTCAGGGCGGGCTCGGGAGGGCCCGGCCCCGCGGGGCTGCTCCGTGCCCCGGGTACCTCTGCCTGGCACGCCGTCCTGACTTGGGTTCCTTTGGGCTGCGTCAGGCTCCAGTCCACCCACAGCTGATGGAGCTTCTGCTGCCCCTCCAGCAGCTTCTGGCCGACCTCCTGTTTCACAGATTCAATCTGATGGGGAAAAACGAGAGGAAAGGTTGTACTGCAAGCACACACAGAGAGGCACAAGCTCTTCCCTGCCAGGGAAGGATCCAAGGTGACACGGAGCTGGCGGGGGATGGAGGAAGAGCTTCCAGCTGGATAGCAGGGCAGGAAAGGCTACAGACAGGAGGAAGGAGGGCAAAGCGTGTTGGTACCAGTCTCAGTGCCAGCTGCAGCCGTGCCAGGGGCTCCTGGGTGCGGTGCCTGAAGCCCTGCAGCTTGGCCAGGGAGTGCTGGTAGGCTCGGTGCCGCACGCGGCCCGACAGCGAGCCCAGGCGCACAAAGTAACTCCTCTGCCTCTTCTGCTCCTCCAGGGAGGCCACGCCAAAGCCCTGCACCGTGGTGGCCAGTTTACCTGGGGGAAACAAGAACACAGTGCAGCTGGGAGGGGTGGGAGAGGTTGGATCACCCACTGGAAAACATGAAGGCTGAGGCTTGCTGCAGGAGGTTTGTAGTTGCTCATGTGCTAAAGGCAGGTTAGTCCCTGCTCAATCTTCAGGTAAGCAGACTCGATGGAGAGGTTGAAGCATGAACCCATGTATTTATTTATTTACTTTGAGGACCAGCCAGCAAATGCTTGAACTCTGTCCCATGCCATGTGGCAGTTTGGTGTTGACAGCCAGCAACTTGGTGACAAATTCAGAGCACCTGTCTGCTTCAGAAGCTGCATCTTGCTGTGTCAGGTGCTCTCTACTTACATGGGAAAGGACTCGCATCTACAAGCGCCAGGTACAGATTTTCTTACCTAGCTCTTCCTCGGTCATTGGGAGGTAATGATCCACCAGATCTTCTGACATTCCCAGGACAGATTCCACACCTCCAGCCACTGCCTGGCTCACTGCCTTGGCCTTGCTTATGCTGCTGGTCACCACCGAGTTGGTCATCTCCACACCCTCCTGGAGAACCTCCCTGCCCTGCTCCAGGGCTGTGTTGATCTTGCTGGTGATGGTGCCGTAGGCAGCATCCAGAGCTGTACTGACCGTAGAGGTGACCACAGATTTGGTCTTCTCAACGCTGTCTTGAACAGCCCCTTTGGTCAGGTCCACTGCTTCAGTCACCTTGTTGGCCACCAGGTCCTTGGCCCCCTGGGCAGCCCCCACAGCTGCAGTGATGGTGGAAGCAACAGCAGACTTGGTCCTGTCAATGCTGTCCTCCACCGTGTGCTTGGTGACATCCACGGCCTCTGTCACCTTGCTGGTCACCAGCTCCTTGGCACCCTGGGCAGCCTCCACTGCGTTGACAATCGTAGAGGCAACTGCAGACTTGGTCAGGTCAACACTGTCTTCTACGATGTGCTTGCTGAGGTCCACTGCCTTGGTCACCTTGTCTGTCACCAGCTCCTTGGCCCCCTGAGCAGCCTCCACAGCGCTGACAATCGTGGAAGCAACTGCAGACTTGGTCAGGTCAACACTGTCCTCCACCATGTGCTTGGTGACATCCACGGCTTTGGTGACCTTGTCCACAGCATCTGTCACCTTGTTGGTCACCAGCTCCTTGGCTCCCTGGGCAGCCCCTACGGCTGCAGTGATGGTGGAAGTCACAGCAGACTTGGTTCTGTCAACACTGTCCTCCACAAGGTGCTTGCTGAGGTCCACAGCCTCTGTCACCTTGCTGGTCACCAGCTCCTTGGCCCCCTGGGCAGCCTCCACCGCATTGACAATCGTAGAGGCAACGGCAGACTTGGTCCTGTCAACACTGTCCTCCACCATGTGCTTGGTGACATCCACAGCCTCCGTCACCTTGCTGGTCACCAGCTCCTTGGCACCCTGGGCAGCCTCCACAGCACTGCTGACAGTGGAGGTGACCACAGACCTGGTCAGCTTGACACTGTCCCCAACAACGTTTTTAGTGAGGTCCACAGCCTCAGTGACCTTGTCAGCCACCGCTTCCTTGGCCTCGCAGGCAGCATCCATAGCAGATGTCACTTTGGTGGCCACCAGCTGCTTGGTGTCTGAGATCACCTGCACCAGGGAGAGGCAGAGAAAGAGTTTTTGGTTGTTGTTCCAAAATATAATTTTCCCTCCCTGAAAGAGCTTTTCCACTTGGGTTAGTGGTGCTTGCAGTGTGTGGGAGTGCCAGGGAGGTGAGCACACCTTATGGACACGTTCACACCTCTCTAGCCTTCCCTGCTGCTGAGCTTTATTTATTTCCCCATATTCTTCTGTACCCACAGCAGTCCCACCAAGCCATGGCTTCCCCAGGAAAAGCCTTTCCTTACCTTGTCTGCTGGCTGCTGCAGGAAGGGCAAGTTCTCCTCCAGCTGATCCAGACCTTTACAGGCATATTCATTCACAAGAGCAACTGGAAGAGACAGCAGGCACCAGTTTATTCTTACATTTGGGGATGGGTTTTTGACCCTACAATGGCCATTTCAGGACACACTGATGAAAACAAGCCCCAGAAAAATAAACCCCCATTCTAGGGTGGGATGTGTGTGGGCATCTTGTTAAAAGTGAACAAACCCTAACATTCAGCAGGTTCAAATAATCTCCATTTTGCCTTCTCAGCTTTCTAACAGCAGACTTTAATTCCATTGCACTGTAGCACCTGCCCTTGGTGGGTTTAAAAGGTTGAAAAGTGTTGGGATAAGGCAGACTGAGCTCTGTTCCAGCCCTGGGATGGTCAGAACGTGCAGTGAGAGCCAGCGAGCAGGGAGTTACTGCTCAGTAACCTCAAGAAATCAAACTTCTGCTGGAAACAATTTCACTCCCAGGCAGTCCAGTGTCCAGGAGCTGCTGGGTGGGAGGCCCAGTGCCAGAGGAGAAGGTGCTGTGGGAGGTGGGATCACCCTGGAGGCACCTGAACCTCCCCTGCCCTCCTGCCCCAAGGGTCCCCCAGCCCTGCACTTACTCTGAGGCTCGAGCTGGCTCAGGATGGGCTGTGCCCCTCCGACCACGCTGCCCACAGCCACGGCAGCCACGGTCTCAGCCACGCTGCAGACACCACTGAGGCAGGGGTGGCACTCCTTGGTCTGGTTGTAGGCAGAGGAGACCAGGTTGAAGGCAGAATTGAGCAAGGGCAGGTTGGTGACTCGGTTGACAGCGCTCTAAACCCAAGAGAAACGCTGACATTAGAGCCCAGCCCGAGCTGGTGGTGAACACAGCCCATTGTCTGTCCAGAGAGGTCCCAGCAAATTCATCTCCTCATCCCTCAACTCATCCAGAGGCCTCCTACAAGCCAGGGTTGAGAACTGTGAACTCTGTGCTAGTGAATTCTGAGTCACACCAATTTCAGCACCAAACCAGGTGTGAAGCAGGACCTGTAACAGCTCCTGTTTCAGAAATACTTGCATCATTTGGCCAGCCCTGAAGGTGTCTCTTGAGCAAAAGAGTTCTGTACCGAGGGGGTTTTGATTTGGCCACAGCTTCACAGGGCTAATCTTTCTGTCCCCCCAGCCTGGTTTTGGGGTGCTGGCAGAGGTTTGGTACATGTGAGCGGGTGATTTAACTGCTGTGGGTGCTCTGGCACGTACCACAGTGTGCTGCTCCTCAGCCTTCAGCAGGTCTGGGGTTGGGGTCTTTCCTGCGGCCATACTGACTTCAGCTGCAGCTGGAAGGAAAAACAAGATTATCATGAGCACAATTTTATTGCCTCCAAAGAAATCAAATCCTGCCAGGACAGGGGAAAAGCAGAGGGCAGCAAAGCTGGGATCCATCATTCAGCTGCTCCCAGGAAGGGTCAGGTTAGAAATAGGGGAGAACTATTTTATCTGTCTTGTGTTTGCTCTGTGGGGTGGGATGACCCTGCCTGGACACCAGGTACCCACTAAAACAACTCCATCACCCCCTCCTCAGCTGGACAGGGGAGAGAAAATACAACAATCCACCCAGTCTGGGAAGGACATGGAAATCCTGTGGAGCTCTCCCTGGAGGCTGAGCCAGGATTCCCAGCTGCAGCATTCCATGGCTACCTGGAGACTTGCCTTCACATCCTACTGACCATCAGGGCAGGAAATCTCACTTCCTGTGAAACCAAGGCTCAGAGACGTTCTCATGACATAATGGGATTGAAGAGAAGTATAAAATGTTGCAATGATCTGAACGGGTATTGGTCTCCCAGCACAGATCTCCTATGGTATCTGGTCACTCCTGTACTGGTAATAAAGGCAGCATTACTCTGAGCCTTAGCCAGGCACAGCAGGGATTTCAGCACATTTGTTCCTTGGGACAGAGTCTGCTTTTCTCTCCTTTGCCAGTTAACTCCTATTCTTAGATTTGCTATGACATTTTCCAGTGGAAAACCCTCAAACCAGAATTCCTCCCAAAGTGGATTTCCAAGCCATGCACTGCTCCAGGCTCACTGGCAGACTCTTCCCAAAAAAACTTTCCATCCGAGTTGTGGTGGAGCCCATTGTCTTGTTTCTTGTGTTCTTTGCCTCGTGCAAGGTTTTGATTTTGCTGAGAAACAGGAACAGAGAGATGGAGAGCAGTAGTGAAACCAGCATTTGTGAGCCTGGATGGGCTCTGCCACTGGCCAGGGACATCTCAGGAGGTGACTTGGCAAAACACCAAATATTGCTGCATTAACCACTGAGTTAGTCAGAATTCAGTGAGATTTGAGCAGGGCAGGGATGCCATATGCCTGTAGCAAAAGTGTCACACAAGTTGTCACCTGCAGCCTCTCCAGTGAGAATCTGGGAGCCCTCCCTATTTATCTATTATTAACCACCACTGGATCCTCACCAGGCTGGGAGAAGTTGTAAAAAGCTGCTCCAAAGAAAGCAAGGCTGAATATCAAATCTGAGTCGCAAAGTCCACAGGGTTGCTGTCAGTGGCTGCCCCTCCTGCTCTGCCTCAGGGCAGCTTTGTTATTGCTTTGGAGCCTTGCAGGGCAAAGCACAGCTCTTTCAACACCATCACAAACAACCCCTTTGCTCAGTTATTTTACTTCTGGGCAGGTGGAAAAAGCTCAGACTGTGGAGTTTGACACTGTGGTGGCCTTGGTGTCAGGGCCAGCACAGAGACAGCAGCAAAGGGAAGAGGGGAGGACTCTGGTTAGAATAATTCAGGGGTAACTTCTTGGCTGATGTAAAAACTGCTGTAAGGTTAGCTCACCCTCTGAAGCACAGAGATCCTGTGTTGATTATGGATGCAGCCTGCCAGGGACAACCCTTCAGCACAGTCATGTTGGAACAAGGTTTGTTCTGCACCGTGGAGGAGAAATCCATGTTTTGCAACACCCAGATTTGCAGTGTGGGCAGATCTCCACGGCATGGCTTTATTTTCTTTTTCCCTGCAGAAGTGCTGAGCAGCCCTTGCTTTGCTTCAGAGGTTGCAGGAAAGCCCAGTGCTTGGCAACTCTGGTCAGGTGGTTCTGAATCCTTTGGAGAAGCCACAGCCAAGCCAGGATGGCTGCGAGTGGAAATCCCAGTGGGCAGAGGAACAGAAACAGCACCACTTTGCTTTGGTTGTGGTTTCCTTCATATGAAAGTGATGAGCAGATGACTTCACACCATTGCTACATCTGAAATATTAGGTCACTGCTGGAGAAAGCTCTTGCAACAGGTGTTGTCAGAACAATGAAACTCCAGTGCTCTGTTCTGGCATCAAGGTCAAGAGATCTTCTGGTTTCAGGAGCTGAACTCCTGATCAATTCCCAGTTGGAATCAGGCTGGCTCCCTGACTTTTGGCACTGGCAGGGACCAGTTCATGTAAAACTAGTTCTTTGCTCCCCTTGGCTGGGAGGTTTTCCTGTGGGAAGCAGCTCAGCTCCATCAGAACAGGCTGTGGGCTCCTGCAGCATCTTCATGTTCAGGAAGCTTCTCCCCCTTCCAAGGGATTTCCACCTTGGGAGATAAACTGAGCCACAGCCAGCATGGCTGGTTCCGTGGCTTAACTGGCAATTCCTTAATGACCACTGAGGAAAACAAACTAAATTTAGTGCTTTAGATGTGAGCAGGGAGGGCTAATCAGGGCACAGGAATTCAATTGTGGTTAAAGCACCTATTCACATTCTTTTCGAGATTTACCACTGATACCCGGTTCCCAAAAATGCAGAGCTGGGTCATGGGATGTCTGTGAGGAATGGGCTGCAAATGCTCTGAGGACAGAATTAGCTTTAGGAGGAAGATCAAACGATTCCCAGCTTTGACCTGAGGACAGTAGTTCCCAGGGCTGGCCGAGGTGCCCATCTCACCTTTCTGGATAAACCAGCAGCACTGGGAAACCTCAAAGATCAAAGCCACCCTTGCTGATGGATGCAGGGCTTCCCCCAGCAGAATTAAACACCAGCCAGTGGCCACCACCGGGTCAGTAACTGCTTGGAACAGAGATATTTTATGAAAGAGGAGAGGAAGTTTTAGCTGAAACAGCTTCTCAGGGCTTCCCAATCTTTCCATGAGGACAGAGTTCTGGTTTCATCTGGAAGCTGTAACTTGCAGAGCAATCAGCTCAGCACATTCCCATCTGGAATTTTCAGCAGAACCAGCTACAGGAGCTGAAATCCTTCCCATCCATCCACAGCTCAGGGTAGTCGTGACCACATTTAAAGCCTTGTTAGTCTTGGGAAACGCTAATCCAGTTTGCCAAAGCTGCCTCTGGGGGCTGGCAGAGCCCGGCAGGGACAGGGTGCTCCCGAGCAGGAGCTCTTGTGTCACTCAGCTCCACCAAAGCATCACGAGAAACAGCCCCGGGCAGGGCTGGCAGCGCTGTCACAGGAAGGGAATGCCGGGCTGGTCACCTGCACCTCCTGTCCCCGGGGTGTCACCTGCACCCGGAGCATCCACCCTGTCCCCACCATCACCTGTGCACATACAGGTGACTGCTGGGAGTCACCCCCTGCGGATCCCCAGCAAACAAGAAGCAGCGCAGAGCTTTTAAACCCCAAACTGCTCCAGCACAGGTCAGAGATGCACAGAGTCACCAAGGAGCCATCTCAAAGCTGGGAAGGAGCCTTTAGGGAATGGTTTGGGTTGGAAAGGATCACCTGGTTCCACCCCCCCCAAGCCTCTCAGCTGTTACCCAAGGCAGACACATCACAACACCAGAAAATGTCACCTTTGGCCTCAGAGAGCAAAGCCCCCCCATGCACAGGGACACAGCACCCAGCTCCTGCTCTGCAGGGTGCTGAAGGGCCCTGGGGCACACCCAGGGAGCTCTGAGCCACAGCTCCTGTGGGGACCTGAGCCAGGGCCACCCAGCCAGCCTGGGGAGCCACCCCCAGCCCCAGCTCCCACCCCCCAGCCCAGCCTTACCTGCCTCCTCCGCGCCCGGCACCGCTCAGACTGGGAGCACTGGTGAGACTGGGAGCACGGGGCGCCGCCCCAGTTAAATACCCCGCAGGGTGATTGGCAGCGGGGCTGAGGGAATCAGGAGCCAATGGCAGGGGAGCTCAGCGGGGTGGGGCTGCAGGTGAGGGCTGGGGTTCCCTGGGGGCTGCACGTGAGGGGCTGGGGGTCCCTTGTGGGGCTGCAGGTGAGGGGCTGGGGGTCCCCTGTGGGGCTGCAGGTGAGGATTGGGGTCCTCTGGGGGGCTGGGGTTCCCTGGGGGCTGCAGGTGAGGGGCTGGGGGTCCCCCGGGGGCTGCAGGTGAGGATTGGGGTCCTCTGGGGGGCTGGGGTTCCCTGGGGGCTGCAGGTGAGGGTTGGGGGTCCCCTGACAGGCTCTGGTCGCCTGAGGGGCTGGGGTCCCCTCGGGGCCATGGCGGGTGTTGGGAGCTGCTGTTTGTCCCCCCAGGAGGGACAGACCTGGCAGGGGATCTGTCAGAGGGTGTCCATCCCCTGGTGCTTTGGCCTTGGGGCCATGGGATTGTGGAATACCCTGAGTTGGGGTCCCCTGGCCCTGCACAGCCCCCCCAACAATCCCTCCGTGCCCCAGAGCTGTTCCTGCTCAAGGAGCTGCTCATGGAGGCCGAGCACTGGAGCTGCCTGGGCACAGGTGCTGGGACAGGAGTGAGCCCCTCTCTGTCCCCCAGCCCTGGCGCTGCTCCCTGCAGGGGTCACAGATGTTGTCACCAAGTCCCAGAGAAGCAGGACGGGCTGTTTGTGGTGTAAACCATCATCATCATCATCATCATCCTGATGTTTTCTTGGCAAAGCTCTCCCTCCCCAAGGAGTCAGACATGGGGTCCCACCTCAGCCTGTACCAGGCCCTGCAGACACCTGATGATGAAACTTTTGCTTCTCCTGTTTGCTGGGATTTTCAGGGTAGGAGTTGATTTATGTTTTTATCCCCACTGAGGGCCCAGCAGTGCAGGACTCCAGGGAGCTCAGGGCTTTTTAACAGCTATAACAAACACTGAACACTCCAGTCAATGCTTTTCTTTTCTGTTTGTGCCTTTTCATCTTCAGCTCTCAAAAACTGGTTTGAAAACATCAATTAAGCTTCCTGTTGTCTGTTGTCAAGATCAGCGGGGGAGGAAACTGAGGCGCAGGTAAAAATTATCTGAAGTCTTCTAACACTATTACAGTGATTGAGTCACCTTGTTTTGGGCCTCTGGATGCAGGAGACCTTGGCTCTGGTTCTGTATTGCCATTCAGGCAGGTGGGGGTGCCAGTGGTTTTTGAAAAATGTGCTGTTAAGCTGACAAAAATGTGGAGAATTGTCACTCCTGAGCTTTGGGGCTGGAATGAATCCTCGTCCTGAGGCTGAATTAGCTGGGAGTGCTGGCTGGAAAGGGCTCTGGAGCTCAGGAGGTCCTGGGAGATGGGACCTGGATGAGTCTGGGAACCTCCAAAGGGATGGAGATGTCCCACAGCCTCTCTGGGTGCTGGACCCACTGGGTCTGGATGTTGCATTAATGGAAAAGCCGCTCCCAGTTTCCACTCTGAGCCTCCCCAGCTACAAACTGTGGCTTTTGCCTCTTGTGTGATCACCTGCACTGCTGGACACAGTCCTTGTGCATTTCTCTGTGTGACATAAACTCCATGTTCCTTCATCACCAGAGTCACAGGATCCAGAATGGCCTAGGTGAGAAGGACCTTAAGTTTTTGATGCAGTTCTGAAGTGTTTGATATCTTGTACTAAAACTGAAGCCAGGTTTTAACAACTGTGATGTTTGTAAGGGAAATAAAAATCGTTCTTGTCTGTCCTGTGAAGAATTGATGAAATTAAGTTTTTTTTACAGGAACAGGGAATCAAGAAACGAGTCCTGTGCATTTTGGAGTGTTGGCCTGCCATGGCCAGTGCTGCATCCCCAGGTAAGGTGGCAGTGATCCAGCTGCCAGGTGTTCCTGGGTGGGAAGTGCCCCAGTGGGTCAGTGCTGTGGGGATGGTGAAAGTCTCATGGGACAGGTTTTATTTCATCCCCTAAGTGAGTGAAACAGCACTGTGTGCATGATGCACAGCAATGGTGGGGCACAGGGGAATGGGAGAAGTGATAGCCAGTAATTAAAATTAACCAGGCAGTGTTTAGTATCTAATGAGTGGCTTTGATATTAGGGTAAAATGTCAGTGCTGGGATTTCCTGCTGGGTGGCAGAGCTGCCTGCAGAGTCAGGACACTGGATTTGGGAGATTGCAGTGTCACAGCAAAGCTTTGCACAATTGCTTCAGTGACCCTTGGTGCTGTATGAAAGACACAGATTTAAATCCGAGATAAAATCACCCTAAGATGTTTGGTGGGGTGGGAAGGGCGTGGGAGGAAGTGGAGAAACACGTTTGGGGAATGAGGAGCTGTGTTGGTTGGGAGCCCTGTGCAGCCCTGAGCAAAGCTGCAGCATCCAGACCCAGGGCAGGATCCTTCAGGTGTGAATTGTGAACCTCACCTGCTGCTCCTGTGGGAGCCAGGAGCCCCTGTGCCTCTGCCCTGCTGCTTCAGCTGCCTCCTGGCTCCCTCAGCTGCCTCCTGGCTCTGCCTGGGGATGAGACCTCAGCCTTGAGCTTCTCACTTGTCCCACCCTGGGATTTCTGTTGAGTGCAAACCTGCAGGTGTGTGTGGAATTTGGAGGGTCAGACCCCTGTGTTGGGAGCCATTCCTTTCCCTGCTCTGAGGTGTGTCACAGCTCAGCATTGTCCCCTTGGGGCCCAGAGGCCACACGTGACACTGGAGTTCCCACTGCAAGGGGAGAACTGCAGCGGAAATCATCTGCTGCAGCGGAAATCATCCTGCTGCTCTCCCAGTGCGTGAGTAACCTGCCACCATGCCGTGGTCACCTTCCCCTTGTCACCTGCCCTGGGGCAGGCACAGGCACGAGAAGGGATGAGAATGATGATTCAGGGCTGGGGCATGAGGAGCTCTGGTGCTGTTCCTCAGGTCGGCGAAGCCCTTGGGCTCTCGGAGCTGCCTGGGCATGGAGGGGACAGCTCTGGGTCATTGTCACCCACCAACCTTCCTGGTGCCCCCAGGCCTTCAGAGCACCCTCCTGGGTCAGGGCCTGCTGCAGGTCTCTGCTGCCCTCCCTCTGCATGAACCCAGCAGGACCCTCCTGTCACCTGTGCCTGCTCGAGGTGAGCCACTCCTGCTCCCCTTCAGCACTCACCCGAGCTCCCCAGGCCCTGTTTTGTGTCCAAGTCCCCTTCCAGCAACTCACCTGGGCTCCCCATCCTGTTCCTTCTCCAGGTCCTGCTCCCCTTCAGCACTCACCTGGGCTCCCCAGCCCCTGTCCTTGCAAACAGCTATGCAAGAATAGCTGTTTATGCACATAAAAGCATAAATTCCAGGGTCTGTGTCCTGGTTTTGGCTGGGATAGTGTTCGTTTTCTTCCCAGTAGCTGGTCCAGGGCTGTGTTTTGGATTTAGCATGGGAATAATGTTGATAACAACCGATGTTGTGGTTGTGGCTGAGTTGTGCTTACTCCAAATCAAGGACGTTTCAGTTTCCCAGGCTCTGCCAGCGAGCAGGGGCACAAGGAGCTGGGTGGGAGCATGGCCAGGAGAGGCCAGAGGGATATTCCATTCCACAGAACATCCTGCCAGTGCAGGAACTGGGGAGCTGAGACCTGTCTGTCCCTGCTGTGGGAGGGATGGGAGGGATGAGCTGGGTCAGGGGTGGTGAACGACTCTTTGGCACTCTGGCAGGGAGGAATTCCAATCTCCCAGAACCCTCCCAGGCTGCAGGAAGTGCTGTGGTGGGTTCAGCTTCATCCTCCAGCACATCTGCAAGGACGAGCAGTGACTCTGTGTCAGGCAGAGCCTCCAGCCCTGGGAGGAGGTGAAGCCTGGCGGCACCGAGCCCATCCCGGCTCCTGCCAGCCGCGACCGTGGCTCATCCCATGGCGGCTCTAAGGAAGATGGGACCTGCCCTGCGTGTCCCCTACGTGGGAGGGCACCACATCCTGCTGCTGGCTGTGCTCTGGTGCCGAGGGGAGGCCGTGGGGGCGGGGAGGGGAGCATGGAAGCGGGGTGTGCCGCGCCGTGCCGCGCCGTGCCGGGCTGTGCCGGGCCTCCCGCGCCTCGTGCTCCTTTGTTCCAGCCCAGGCCGCGCCATCCCCAGCCCCGGCCTCTCTCCCCCACAAGCGCCAACGCTCGGCCTCTCATCCTCCTCTTGGAGCAGGCTTCTCTCAGGGGCCTCTTGGCCACGCTTTCCCCCATCCAGCGGTTGTTTTAAGCAAATATTATCATTTTAGATTTCCTCACAGCATCGGTGGGTTTGGGGATAAACATCCTGCTGGATCTGCCCGTTCTGTCGGCTCACGCGGCCACGCCACGGCCCTGCCGTGTCACCAGTGGGGCCCTGCACAGCGCCATGAGTGCCCCTGGAGCTGCCGGCCTGGGGAGTTAGAGCCCTTCTGCGGATTATTTGCTTTATTCGGATTGCTCTGTTTATTTGAATTCAGTTATTCGGTTATTCGGTTTATTCGGCTATTCGGATTATTCGGTTTATTCGGATTATTCGGTTTATTCGCATCAGGGTAGGGCCTGGAGCCCCCCAGGGGGACAGAGCCCTCCTGGAGCCCCCCTGGGGGAACAGGACCCCTGGGGAAGTGCGGCTGTCATAGAGGGGTCATTGGAGTCTCCTCTCCCTGGGGCTCACCGGGTTTGAGGACAATACCCGGTACCGTGCCCGCGGCCCCGGGGGCTCAGGGCTGATGGAGCCCTTGGGGATCCGGGGAGTTTTGCTCCCGGTATCGCAGCGGAGCGGGGGGCGCCGGGCCGGGTCATTGGCGGGGATCCCCGTTGTCGCCCCCGATTCCCGGGGGTGTTTTCCCGGTCCCGTTTCCCCCCCAGGGCCCCCCCGGTCCCGGGAGGCGGTGGCGGCCCCGCCCCGCCCGCGCGTTCCCGCCAGCGGCGGCCAATGGGCGCGCACGGGGCGCGCGCGGGGCTTTTCCGCGCCAAACTCCAAAGCCCGCGGAAAGCGCGCGCGGCACCGGCACCGGCTCCGGCACCGCACCCGGTGAGTCCGCCGGGACCCCCAGCCCCAACCCCGGCACCGCACCCCGGTGAGTCCGCCGGGACCCCCGGCACCGGCACCGCACCCCGGTGAGTCCGCCGGGCCCCCCCAACCCCGGCACCGCGTCCCGGTGTGTCCGCCGGGACCCCCAGCCCCGGCACCGCCGCCCATGGCGCTGCCGCCGCGGGCCGGGGAGCGGCCGGTGGCACCGGGAGCGGGAGGACAGCAAGGGGCGCGGGGGTTTCCCCGCCCTGCCCGGGGGGTGCGGGAAGCGGCGGGAGCGCTCCGCGGTGCCCGGGCGGTGACAGCTGGGTCCGGTGGCCCGGAGGGGTCGCGTCGCTCGGGGCTGCGACAGCGGGACCGACCCCCGCCCTCGACCGGGCCCGCGGGAGGGGGTGTGGCCGTCAGGGGCGGTGCCGGCGGCACCGGTGCCCGGCGGGCCCGGGGAGTGCCATCGCCCCGGGGGCTGCGCGGGGATGACGCGGCGGGGCTGGGGCGGGTCCGGGCGCGGCGGGGGTCGCTGACGCCCCGCGGTTCCCGTCCTGTCCCAGGCGGGTGTGCGGCCGGGGGGCCGCGGGCCGCGTTCTGCCGGTGACGGCCCCTTTAAGACCACGCGCTTCGCCCCCTTACCCCCTTTATCCCCTCTCTCATTTGCATGATCGCGCGAGATTTGGCGCGTGGGCGCGGCGGGCGGGTTTCAATTGTGGCGCGAGATACGGCCGGCGCGAGCGGAGCCGTTAGTCTCCCGCGTGGGAGGGCGGGGCCGGCCCCTCGCAGCCAATCAGCGGCCGAGCCGGCCGGGCCGGCGGCCAATGGCGTGCGGCGGGCTCGTGAGGGGGGCGCGGCCGCGGGTGCGGGCCCGCCCCGGCGGTGCCGCCGCTGAGCGCGGTCCCATTCCCGGGGCAGCGCCGGCGCCATGTGGATCCAGGTGCGCACCATGGACGGCAGCCAGACGCACCGCGTGGACTCCCTCTCCAAGCTCACCAAGGTGGAGGGGCTGCGCCTGCGGATACACGAGGTGTTCGGCGTGGAGCCCCACCGGCAGCGGCTCTTCTACCGCGGCAAGCAGGTACCGGCGCGGCGCGGGCATTGACAGCCGGGAGCGGCGGCAGCGCGGTGCCGGACACCCCCAGCCGGGCCCTGCTCCCCTCCAGCTGGGGACGGGTGTTTTAATTTATTTATTTTTAATTGCGTGGAAATAAGGGGTTTTGCTGCCATCTAGTGATCCCCGCTCCCTCCCGCGTCCGTGGGTTTGCCAGGACAGGAGCCCGCTGCCTTTATTCTTACTTTTCTTTACTGTTTTCCGCCTGATGTGTTGCTCTTCTGCCTTGACATCGCCTTTATGAAGTGTCTGCAAATTGCCAGTGGTTTTATGGTCTTTAAAGTGCTTAATGTTTTTGAGCCTTGCAAGTTTCATCGCTCTGAAAGCCATAAAGATCTAATTTTCCTTTGTAAATTGGGAAAAGCATCTCATGATTTTGAAGTTTCTCAGTTGATATCAAATTCTCACTAGGTACAGAACACTTGAGTGGCTCAGTGCTGTATTATGTTCTCAATAATACGTTTGCAATTGCTGTTGCACAGCTGTTTTATTCCCTGTCAGTTCATAATGTAACTAAATTAGCAGTGAAGTCAATCAAAACCATTTAAAAATACAATTGCTGTAGTCTACCTAGTCCTATGCTGCTAAACCTTCGTGCTAGAGAAACTCCTGAGCTGGTGTTTGGTTGATCACAGGATTAATTTCAGGAAAAGCAGTGGGATGCTGAGCTGGCTGCAGATAGACAATTTTTTCTAGCTGCTTTTCTTTCTGTTTTAGGCAGTTCTGAGCTAACTGTACTCTGTAAATAGCAGGTGTGGCTGTAGAACGTGGAAATACACCTGGACTAGCCTCAGTCTAAGCTCAGGTACCAGCTCTAGCATAAGCAGAGGCCTGTAGGATGGTGTAGCATCACCTTTGTGTTGGGTTGGTGTAGATTTGGGTGCATTAATTCCCCATTTGTGTTGTAAATCGAGTGATAAGGGAGGTTGGTTCAGGGCAGGCGCCACCTGTCAGCCTGTCCCTGAGGTCTGGGGTGAAGCAGGTTTTCAGAAGTGGTGACTTTCATTCAGTTTGCCCTTGCCCTGCAAAGGGAACCCCTCCTCCTGCAGCTCCAGTGTTCCCTGGCTCGGGCAGGAACGTGACCCAGCCTCTCTTAGGCCTTGTTCCCATTGTGCTTTGTCTGGCTGTTGGAGCCCCTGCAAATGTTCCATTTCTTACCCGTGAGCGTTTGTCAGTGGGATTAGGAAATTAGCTGTTAGTTCAAACCTGCCTCCTTTGTTTGAGGTTTGTCCTCGGTGCTGGGCTCTTCTTTCTGCCTGTGCTTTGAGCTCCTGTGGTTTCCTGTGCTGTTCCTGTGCTCTTCCATTTCACTTTGCACCTGTTGTCACTCGTGTCCTCCGCTGCTGTTCCCGTGTTGGTGACACTGTGCCCTGCCTGAGGAGGAACAACCCGTTCCTGGTGTGTTCTTCTGCACCTCGAGGAGTTTTCATCTCTGAACCAGCAAAAAGCTCAGACCTCTTCCTGTGCAGTCAGATTTCCAGGGATTGTTCCACAGCCATTTGATGCCATAAATCAGAATGGAATTATCATAGTGATTCCTGTGAAGTGTAAATTTTTGTGGTTTTGCTCTGCTTCCCCCTGATAGAGAACAAAGCTCCAGGGATTGCTTTTTCTGGTGGTTTAGGCTGGAAAGGGATGATCATTTCCTGTATAATTTCTTAGTCAGACCTTAAATATGTGGGGAAGCTTGTCTGAACTCCTGACTGCTCCGTGGGCTCCAGCCTTACATGTTAACTCTAAAATGGTTGTGCTCCTTCGAGCTCTTGAGAGGTTATTGAGGGGCCTCTTTCTGCCTCTGCACTTCTCTTTTTGCAGGGGCAGGGTCCTGATTTGACTACAAACTGTGCCAGATAAACTCTTAGAATTAGAGGGAGTGTGAAATTAGAACACGCCAGGCTACGCTGAAGAGCGATCGAGTGGTTTCAAGTTGAATTGACTCTTTTTTTGATTTTACTTTCAATGGAAAAAATGTGTGTTTGCTGGGAGAAAAGTGTGTGATTAACTCTGGCTTCTACTTAATGCTATGAATTATGGTGTAACAATTCGTAGCATTATGGAGATGGTGTAACAACGATCTGGATCACACACAATTAAAATATAAAGACAATCTGCATTAACGTTTGGGATGTGTCTGAATTGAGGAAGAAATAATTTTTTTTTGTAGGTTATGTGGAATTATCTTTGAATCCTGACGGAAATGTGGAGGGTCTGTAGTTGTTTAATTGTAGGAAACCCGCTGCAAACTTTTCCAGATCTCCTAGAGGCTGGGTAGCGAGTCCAGAGCAGCATGGCTGCCTTGCTCTGGCAGAGTGCAAAAAAAGCATTTAAATATCAGGGGCTGAGAGAGAAGAAGGGCCCAGATCTGGCTGGTAATGGTTCCCAAGCCACGTGGTGGATGTTGGCGGGCTCTGAGCTCGATGGGAGGCTGGAGGCAGCGCGGTGCGGGCGGTGAGGGGCGCGGTGAGCGGATCCGTGAGCGGTTTGGTGAGTGGATCCGTGAGCGGTTTGGTGAGCGGATCCGTGAGCGGTTTGGTGAGCGGATCTGTGAGGGGTTCCCTGCTTTCCCTGCAGATGGAAGATGGGCACTCCCTGTTCGATTACAGCGTGGGGCTGAACGACATCGTGCAGCTGCTGGTCAGACAAAGCCCGGCCGCGCTGCCTGCTGGCAGCAAGGACAAGGACCCCGAGCTCTCGGACAGCGACTCCGGCTGCGGCTCCGGCCCCAGCGAGTCCGACAAGAGCTCCCACAACGGGGAGGCTGCGCTGGAGCTGGAGGGACAGCCGGGCACGGCCGCCCAGCCCGACTGGGCAGACCCCTGCTTCGGCCTCTACAAGGTGGGTGCTCACACGCTGGGAGCCCTCGGACCGCTCCTGGCCTGGGGAATTGTTCTCTGTGCTGGAGAATCGCTGAAAATCTTTCGCACTCTGGTTGTGTGGGCAGTGCCTTTCTTCCTCTCAAACACTCTGACAACAAAGACAGAAATACCAACCAAGCCACAAACCAATTCAATGCGAAATGCTGTAGGTCCAAAAACTTAATTTTTTCATTTTGTCCTTTGAAATTAAACTACAATACACTAATTTTTTTTTAAGTATTCAGAGTGTCTGGTTTGATTTTTTTTTTTACAAATTTTCCCAATATTTTTGCTTGGAGTCACTACATTTGTCAAAGCTGAAACTTTCTTGAATGAACAAAAGAAAATCTCGAGCAGCTGTTCAGAATAATTTTATTTCTCTGTTTCAATGGGTTTTATTACAGATCTAGTGATGTCTTTGCCAGGTTACGAGCAAGACACTTTGAAACTCTATTACAGACTAACCAATAATGCTTTGGGCTCACCAGCAAGGCTGGGTTTACATGTGCTGGTGTGGAATGGACTTATAACCTTACAAATTCAACCTAAGCAGACTGTAGGGCTGCACAACAGGACCAGGAGAGCAGAGGAAATATTAATTTTTAAGGTGATCAGTTAAATATCTTGATAATGGTGCAGTTCTTGAGGTGGTTAAATCTTTAAGTAGATTGGAAATGAATGCCTAATTTGCAGATCCCTTTTGGTGGGCTGTGCTCTTGGCTCTGTACAGATCAATGACCTGGTGGATGCTCGGGACACGGACATGGGAGCGTGGTTTGAAGCCACAGTTGTGAATGTAACCAGGAAAAAACCCACCAGTGGATCAGCTGAGAGCTGCACAGACCCTGACCAGCCCACAGCTGTCCCTGAAGAGGATGTGATTTATCATGTGAAATATGATGAGTGAGTTTTGTTTTGTTGCCTTCTTGGCCAATAAAGTCATTGGGGTCGTGATGTTGATGGGAAATTTTATTGCAGATATTGCACAAATTAAAACAAACTGGGCAGTGACACAGTCATTATGTCATTGGGCCCTGGCAACTGTAAGGTTGTTTTGCAGTTGGAATTCCTGGGGGCTGGAATCATGTTTTTATGGATACCAGTTTTTACAGGAAATGCTGGTGTCCAAGGGTAGAAGGGAGGCAATAATATCAAAGTCAGACTGGTTGGTTCTGGCTGTGTCTGTGTGGGAGGAGATTTTATCCTTGATGGTATTCTTGTGTTGCACAGCAAAATCAACCTGTCAGCATAACACCTGTTCCTCCCGAGGGCTGATGCTGAATGTGATTTCTGTTGTGTCCCTCCCTTCAAGTTACCCAGAGAATGGGGTGGTGCAGATGAGCTCGGGCAACGTGCGGGCTCGGGCACGGACCATCCTCAAGTGGCACCAGCTGGAGGTGGGGCAGGTGGTGATGGTCAACTACAACCCTGATGAGCCCAAGGAGAGGGGCTTCTGGTACGATGCTGAGATCCTGCAGAAAAGGGAAACCAAAACCACCAGGGAGCTCAATGCAAAGATATTACTTGGGTAAGCTGTTCATGTGGGATAAATGGAATTTTCCTGTTCTGCTTCAGCTTTCTGAGGTCTGAGTGGCTCTGCTGGTATCTGTGAACTCGAGCTGTGGGATACTTCCAAACTCTGATCTCTCCTCAACTTCTTCTAGGGAAGCTGGTGATTCCTTGAATGACTGCACAATTATATTAGTGGATGAAATCTATAAAATTGAAGAGCCAGGCACTGCTTCTCCCATCAGTTCTGGAACGCCAAAACGTGAGTCTGACGTGGAGTTCTTGCATGTCTGTCTTACCTTGTCACGTCCTGCCAGTTGTCTCTGTGAGGGTTAAAGGTTTAAGGGCTCCAAGTCACGTTCAGCTGTGTCTCCTTTGACCATTTCCAGTGGATCTTGGCACTGGCTGAGTGTGGTTTGTGTTTGCCCACAGGACAGAGTGGACCCGTGTGTAAAGCCTGCAAGGACAACCCAAACAAGACCTGCAGGGTCTGTGCTTGTCACATCTGTGGGGGGAAGCAGGATCCAGATAAGCAGCTCATGTGTGACGAGTGTGACATGGCCTTCCACATCTACTGCCTGAACCCTCCCCTCAGCAGAATCCCAGATGATGAGGACTGGTAGGTTCTGAGGAGGTGTGTGGGGTGTCAGAGTTACATCTAATTAGGAACAGGCATGTGGGTGTTTAAGGGTATTTTTTTTTTGGTAAAACTTCATAGCTTTTCATGAGCTTAATGAGAGTAGGTTTTAAGCCCATGGCTTGCACACTCCTTTTCCTAATTTTGGGATCTAGATGCTTTTTTTGTGTACCTGCCTAAGGGCAGGGCTTGGAGCAACCTGGGATAGAGGAGGGTGTCCCTGCCGTGGCAGGACTTGGAATGAGATGAGCTTTAAGGTCCTTCCACCCCAAACCAGCCTGGGATCCAAAGAGGACCAAATGAGAGCTTGATGTTGGAAGGATTCAGCTGTGCAGTGGCTTTTGTGGGTCACTGCAGGCAGGCCCCATCATCAGATCAGGCAGGTTTGTGCATGAGAAATGTACACTGAGAGTTGTGGGTAGTGAAATAAATCTTCCAATAGACACAGAGTCAGTGAAATGCACTGGTTTGTTCCATCAGTGTTTCAACACTGTATACAGTGATTTTATATCACAGCTGTTTCCTGATACATCTGCATGGCTGGTGCACTACAGGAGCTGTTGCAGGTTAAATTCCAGCATGGAAAGTGTTTCCATGTCCTGCCTGGTTTCACATGGGGAAATTGTAACATAACTCACTGTGTTTGGAGGAAATGCTCCTAACTGAAAGCTTTGCTACTTGTTAATTTTCACTGACTTTAGGTATTGCCCTGAATGTCGAAATGATGCAAGTGAGGTGGTTTTAGCAGGAGAGAAATTAAAAGAAAGTAAAAAGAAACAAAAGATGGCATCTGCTAATTCCTCCTCCCGGAGAGACTGGGGCAAGGTCAGTCCAAAGCTGTTTTACTTGGAGTTGTGTTTGTTCCTTTGGGCTCTTGGCTGATGCTGCTCTCTGCCCAGGGCATGGCGTGTGTGGGGCGCACCAAGGAATGCACCATCGTCCCCTCCAACCACTATGGACCAATCCCTGGCATCCCCGTGGGCACCATGTGGAAATTCAGAGTTCAGGTATGAAGCTGAATCCTGGCCTGACCTACTGTGGGGAAAAATTGGAGTTAGCCAGCTCCTGCAAGAAACTGAAACAGTTAATGTGGAAATGTGTGTGTCACTGGATATATGGAAGTGCAGCAGGAAAAGAATTCTGGCTTTGTCTGGATCAAGTGTTCCATAACTAATGCTGCATTGTTGGACCATCAAGTGCTGGTTTATTTTGTTGTAGTGCTCTTTTTGGTAACTCAAAAACCCCAAAGCAAGCGGATTTGTTCCCAGTGGTTTGTCCTGGAGGTGTGCAGTGTGCCCTGCCAAGGGTGTCTCAAATATCCACATGTATGAAACAGAAGGTTTCTCATCCTGTTAGAAAGCTGGGGCAGAGAAAAGCACTGGCCTATCCAGATCTTGCTTTCAGGTATTGAGGGAAGGTTGCTATTACAACTCTTTCAAAACTTTATACAGATATTTAATATCTGTATTATTCTTAAACACCTGGAGCCTTTTAATAAGCAATTTCAGTAAGAAATATCCAAATAGTTAGATTTACACACAAACCTTATCCATGTGTTCAATTTACTGATACAGTCAGTGCCTTATTTTTTTAGATGCATTTTTACTTTTCTTCCTTCTGTCTGGAGCTTTTTGGGGGATGATGGTGAGAGCAGCTTCCCCCTGTGACACACGGAAAACAAATGTGAAGTAGCACAGTAGGTTCAGCTCCACACCCTGTGCTGGTGGGGCCTGTTGAGGGCAGGTGCCTCCAAAGCTGATTTTTGTCTCCCAGGTGAGCGAGTCTGGGGTGCACAGGCCCCACGTGGCAGGGATCCACGGCAGGAGCAACGATGGGGCCTACTCCTTGGTGCTGGCAGGAGGATATGAAGATGACATTGTGAGTGGATCCTGATTATTTATGCACAGAACCAAACAAACCTGTTAAAACTCCACACCAAACACTTGCCCAGCTTCACCCATTTCCTTCAGAAGCAAATGAGGCAAGGAAAAACTGCAGTGATCTGTGCCAGCCTGAGCCACAGGATCATCCCAAACCCAGTTTGATATTCCTGTGTCAGCTTTTGATCCCAGAGTTCTGAAAAAACTGCAGTGATCTGTGCCAGCCTGAGCCACAGGATCATCCCAAACCCAGTTTGATATTCCTGTGTCAGCTTTTGATCCCAGAGTTCTGACTTTTCAAGGTCTGCCTTACACCCACATTGGAACAGTCTCGTGGGCTGTGCTGCCAGCTCTTCACTTGCAGCAGATCCTGTGTGAGCCTGGGCTGCTCAGGAGTGTGACAAGACAACATTGTCACCATTGTCACCTGATGTCCTCTCCTGGCAGCCTGAGGGACAACCAGAGACTGCTCCAGTCTGGGAGCTTAAAAACACAGGAAGCATCTTTCCTTTTTGAGAATGCCCTGCTAAGCTTACCTGGTTAAAAGACTCTCCTGCTTTTGTTGAATTCTTTTTGTGACTGTGAAATCCATCCGTGTTCATTTCAGGATCATGGGAATTCCTTCACCTACACGGGCAGTGGGGGCCGGGACCTGTCTGGGAACAAGCGCACGGCAGAGCAGTCCTGTGACCAGAAACTCACCAACATGAACAGGTTGGCAGCGTCTGTGCTCCATTCTGGCCTCAGCACCTGGCAGTCTGTCAGCACAGGGGTTGTTGGGCTGTTTTAGCTTTGGAACAAGGGCCAGAGTTGGGTCTGGGCTGTGCTTTGGCTGCAGATCAGTTACAGGATGGGAATGCTCCTTTCAGTGCACTGCAAGGGGACAGAGCTGGGTGGGGTTGGTGTCACCTGCAATACTGGCTGACACTTAAAGAATAGAGCAATGAATTGGTGTGGGAGTTCTGCTCTCTCCTGGAGACCTTTGCAGCCACTGGAAACCAGACCATTTGTGATTCTGAGCTGTTTCACAGATAAGCCTGGACATGAGTGGAGGAGCTGCTCTGGGCTGGTGCATTGGGGTCATGCCATGAACAATCAGCTGTGCCCCCATCAGGAGGGTCCCTGAGTGCAGAGGTGTCAGTGTCACACACAGGGCTTCCATGGCAGTCACACACTGAACTCTGGCCTTTCCTGCAGGGCCCTGGCTCTGAACTGCAGTGCCCCCATCAACGACAAGCACGGGGCTGAGGCCAAGGACTGGCGGGCGGGGAAGCCGGTCAGGGTGGTCAGGAACGTCAAGGGAGGCAAGCACAGCAAGTATGCTCCTCTGGAGGGCAACAGATACGATGGCATCTACAAGGTGAGGAGGGCTGAGCTGGGAAAAGAGCCTGTGCTCGTGGCCAGGGGGCTTGGACAGAGGGTGATGGACTTGCTGTGGCTTTTGCAGGTGGTGAAATACTGGCCTGAGACGGGGAAATCTGGGTTCCTGGTGTGGCGGTACCTGCTGAGGAGGGACGATGAAGAACCTGCTCCTTGGACCAAAGAGGGGAAGGACAGGATGAAAAAGCTTGGCCTGACAATGCAGGTACTGCCCTGGGACATCACCTGGAATCTCAGCTTGATGGAGAGCAGAGATTTTTCTGTTACATGCTCCTTAGCTAAAAATTGAGACTAATAAATGCTTCCAGTCTGCCGGGTTGTTTATTTTTATACATCAAGAAGCTAAAAGGACTAAACTCACTTTATTTCTGGTATGGAATTTCTATAGGCTGTGAAGTGCTTCCCTACAGCAGGGATCTGTTGCTTAAATAGATTAAAATTGCCCCTGGAGCTGTTCTCCAGAGGTCACTCTTGGACCTGTCTTGGTCTGCAAGTCTGACCCGGTGTGTTGGCATTGAATGATCTTTGGTTTGTTTCCCTGCAGTATCCTGAAGGATATTTGGAAGCTGTTGCAAACAAAGACAAGGAAAAAGAAAATAATGGAGATGATGAGTTTGATACCCCAGGGAAAGGGAAGAGGAAAAGGAAATCAGCAGGTTTGTGGAGTAGGCAAGTGGATCTAGAAAACCTTGGAGGTTTTTGTGCATTTTGCTTGGTTGCTCTTTTCAGGTGGCTTTTTGGTTTTTAAAAAAATCTTTGTGTTTTCTTTCAGGTGGGGAGGAAACACCTGTCTCCTCTCCAGCAGGGACTCCAAAGAAAACTAAAGTTGAGCCATACAAGCTGACATCCCAGCAGAAATCTCTTATAAAAAGTGATGAAGCCAATGAGAAGCTGTGGAATGAAGTCCTAGAGGCTCTCAAAGATGGACCTGTACGTTGGGCATTTTCCCCCAGCTGTAGTTGTGCTGTCCCCAGCCACAAACCCTTGGCTGAGTTAAAGAACAGCCTCAGACCTAAAATTATTTATTTTAGTGTAAACACCCCCAGCAGGTTTAATGGGACAGGTTTTGCATATTAAGATTTGTTGAGAATCTTTCTATCATCAATTGCATTTAATGGGGGGGGTTTGGGTTAATTTATCTTTCAGCACTAAGTTGATTGAAATGTTCTCTTTGCAGAAATTTCTGAATAAAGTGGAGGAGGCCTTTCTGTGTATTTGCTGTCAGGAGGTCGTGTTCAGGCCAGTCACCACCGTGTGCCAGCACAACGTCTGCAAGGTGGGCTGGGCTGGGCTGCTGGGGAGGAATTGTTCCCTGGGAGGGTGGGCAGGCCTGGGATGGAGTTCCCAGAGCAGCTGGGGCTGCCCCTGGATCCCTGGCAGTGCCCAGGCCAGGATGGGCAGGGCTTGGAGCAGCCTGGGACAGTGGGAGGTGTCCCTGCCATGGCTGGGGTGGCACTGGATGGGATTTAAGGTCCCTCCATGCTCAGCCAGGCTGGAGTTCTCTGCTCTCTGCTGTGTCCAGCAGCACTGGGTGGGATTTAAGGTTCCTCCATCCCAGCCCTACTCTCTGCTGTGTCCAGCAGCAATGGCTGGATGGGATTTAGGGTCTCTCCATCCCATCCAGGCTGGAGTTCCCTGATCTCTGCTGTGTCCAGCAGCATTGGGATGGGATTTAAGGTTCCTCCATCCCAGCCAGGCTGGAGTTCCCTGCTCTCTGCTGTGTCCAGCTGCATTGGGGTGGGATTTAGGGTCCCTCCATGTCCATCCAGGCTGGAGTTCCCTGCTCTCTGCTGTGTCCAGCTGCACTGGGGTGGGATTTAGGGTCCCTCCATGTCCATCCAGGCTGGAATTTCCTGATCTCTGCTGTGTCCAGCATCACTGGGGTGGGATTTAGGGTCCCTCCATGTCCATCCAAGCTGGAATTTCCTGATCTCTGCTGTGTCCAGCAGCAATGGCTGGATGGGATTTAGGGTCCCTCCATCCCAGCCCTGCTCTCTGCTGTGTCCAGCATCACTGGGATGGGATTTAGGGTCCCTCCATCCCAGCCCTGCTCTCTGCTGTGTCCAGCATCACTGGGGTGGGATTTAGGGTCCCTCCATCCCAGCCCTGCTCTCTGCTGTGTCCAGCATCACTGGGGTGGGATTTAGGGTCTCTCTCCATCCCAGCCCTGCTCTCTGCTGTGTCCAGCACAGCAATGCTCCCAGCTGGGAGCGCAGCGCCCCTGTTCTCTCTGATCCCATCCCACGAATCTCAGGGCTGGCTCTCTGTGTCAGAGCTGTCCCCAACGAGCCCAGCTCAGCTCCCTGTCCCTGACCCTGCTCTCTCCTGTCCCCAGGACTGCCTGGACAGGTCCTTCAAGGCCTCGGTGTTCAGCTGCCCCGCGTGCCGCTACGAGCTGGGCCGCAGCTACAGCATGGAGGTGAACGAGGCCCTGCAGAGCGTCCTGGCCCAGCTCTTCCCCGGCTATGGCAGCGGCCGGTGATCCCCCAGAGCACTTCTCCCTCCCTCCTCCCTCCCTGCCTGCCACACCCACCCCGGGCTTAATTTAAAACAAAAAAAAAAAAGGTTAGTCGGTGTTTTCTCCCACCCGCCCCCCTGCAAAACAATGGTTTGAAGTCTTCCTGGTTTTGAAAACAAACCTGTAAACTCCAAGGATGATCCTTTTGTATGTTCGTGGGTTTTGTTTTTGTTCTCTGTGTTGAACTTTGCAATTTTATTTTTGTTTTTTTCATCCCCTCAAACCTGCCATTCATCAGTACAGAATTATTTGTTTCTAATAATGGACTGAAAGTGCTTCCGGTGAGGCTGCTAATGATGAGGAAAGTTCTCAGAGTGCCCCTCTGCCCCCTTTATTTTTATTTTTTATTCCAAAAATGGCTTGGTTGCTAGAACAATCTTCACTGTCTGGGGATTTGGCCATCAAGGTAGACTCGTGCATCACCTTGGCAGCATTTTGATACTCAATTTGTACAAGATGGTTCCTGGCTTTGTACCACAAGTGGGTTTTTACTATTTTTTTGTAAGAACTGGGTTTTATACATTTGACAAAAAGCCATTTCCCGCTAATTTTGTATCTCAGAAGCAGAAGGCTGCTTGCTTAGAGCCAAGTGGTTGGAGCAATATGAAGTACTACCTCACTGGACTTCTCTTAGGGGAAGGATTTGTTCAGCTGGGCGCTGTCCCCTGTCCCGAAATGCCATTGTGGAATATCCTAAAGCCATTCTTAAGTGCCTTTTGTCCTTTGCTGGAAGACTGGGCTCTGAATCACCATCAAGGTCTCCTTTTTTTTCATAAGCACTGAATTGTTGGGACTTGCCAGCCGGATTCTTTGGGAGCGTGGATCACTGTAGCTGTGTGTGATTAGTGGGGATTTGCAGAGGATCAGGTTTCCTAGTTATTAGATGTATTGGGGAGTTTTTTTCTTTGTTCACTGCATTTCTACCTGGAAATGAAAAATAACCAATTCTGGCTTTTGTATGAACCATTTTGTATTGGCCATGCCTGGAGAAGGCTCCCTTGGTCTCCCTCTACCATTACCAAAGTTTGCAGTTTGATACCTCAGCAAGACAGGGATGTTTTTAATCACACTTTTCTGCAGACAGACTGGAACAATTGTGCCTATTATTGGTTTCCTCAAATCTTACCCTTTGCAAAGTGATTATGTTAATATGTTAGGGAAAAAGACCCTGCAACATTTTATACGTTTTTTGGTGAATTTGTCAATTTTTTGTATAATGTGCAAGTTGATGTTCTCAAAATAAATATCTTTTCAGATGAATTGTTGACTGTTCTCCTTCAATTCTTTTGATCCAGAGAGGGTTTCCAGACCCAGTTCCTTGGTTGAATTATGTCCCATTAAGCAAAATCTTTTATTTTTCTAAGGGTTGAGATTTTCATTATTATTTTTCACTGCAAGTTTGGAGAATCCTCATTTCCACTGCTCCAGAATCACAAATACCAACTGGCAGTAGGAATTGTTTGTCCATTTAATGGATAAACTCCAAAACTGTTGCAAATGCCAAGTCCTGCATCATATTTGAGGTGTTAAAGGAACAAGTGTGAGCTTCTCCACAAACCAGAGGAATTAATTCAGCCACTGAGGTTTCCACAAATGCAGATGAAGGAAATAAAGCAACATTAAGGTGGTAAAAACAAAATCTGTGAAATTAAGCAGCACTATTACCATCTACACTCTTTAAAATAAGTTTATTTTAAGGTCATTTTTAACATGAAACACTTTCAGATATTTAGATGTCATTGCAAATGTCCTTGTGCTTTTTATTCTGTGTTGTGAGGGGAAGAATTGGAGGTGAGTGAGTGAAAGTGAGGAAGCATTTCTGCATTTAAATTGCAATAACTTCAATGACTTCCTTCGTTTATTGGTTTTGCTGTTATTTGGAACTTGAAAAACAAACTTTGTTTCCTCCACAGGTGCCAATGTACTGTTCTGTTGGTGGCTTTTTTAAGCAACAATTACAATTCCCCTGCAAATTGGACACTTTGTGGTGAGATGTGCCAAAATTATCTGTCCCAAATTACAAAGCCCTAGCGGGGAAACGCCTGTGCTGCTCAGTGAGGGATTCCGTGCTGGGGATGATGTGCTGGGCTGGTGTTTCACCTCCCACCCTCACCCGGGGCCGTTTGTGGGGCAAATCCCCGAGCTGGGACCGGGAACAGAACAAAGTTTCCTGGGGAAAAACAAAGTTTCCTGGGGAAAGACTGGGGGAGTGACAGCAGCAAAAACCTCACCAAGGAGCGGCTCCTGTTCTGGGAATTCCCAGCGCGGGCGCGGACTGCGAGCTCTGCTCGGCCTCATTGAGGGCAAATGGGCAAATTGGGGATGGGAATGAGCTGTGCCCGGACACCGGCGGGGACCGGGACCCTAAAGCTCCCCGAGAGCCTCGGCTGTGCCCGGGAGCGGCGGGGATGGGGATCGGTGGTCCCGGGACCCCCCGGTCAGTGCCGGTCCCCAATTCCCACTGTCCCCCTCAATCCCTGCTTGTCTCCCTCTCGGTCCCCGCTGTCCCCGCGCTGTCCCCTCAGTCCCCGCCGTTCCCCGCCCGGCCGCGCGGGGGCGCGCGCGCTCGCCGCTCCCCCATTGGCGCAGCGCGGCCGCAGCGCCCCCGCCCCGCGCTGTGCGGCTCCTCACGTCCTCACCGCCCCGCCCCGCGCCTGATGGGCACCAAACGCCGCCAATCAGCGCCCGCCCGGCGCCCGCCTCATCCAATGACCGCTGGGGGGCGGGCCGCCGATAGAAGAAGGCGGTGTGCGATTGGCGGAAAGCGCATGAGTGACGGGAGCGCTCCCCGCTGCCCCGCCCGTCGGTGGGCGGACCGTCGCTCCGCGCCTCCGACCAATCAACGCCGGCGCTCGCCTTGTTATTCGGCGATCGGGCTCGCCATTGGCTGACCCCGCCGTCCGTCCCCGGTGGCGCGGCCAATGGGCGCGAGGGCGGTGCCGCGCGCGGCCAATGGGCGCGGCGGGGAGGCGGGCGCAGGTGGTGGCCGCGGGGCGCTGCGCTCGCCTGGGCGCCCCCCCTTCGCTGCGCCCCCCGCGCCGCCGAGGGCCCCGCGCGCAGGTACGGCCGGACCGCGCCCCCGCCCCGCCACCGGCACCGCCACCGGCCCCGGCCCGAGCGGGCCCGCACCCCGCCACCCGCGCTGCGCCCCCCGCGCCGCCGGGCCCGCCGCCGCTCCCGGCCCCGGCCCCGCCGCTCCCGGCGCGGCCCCGTCCCCGCCGCTCCCTTCCGGGCCCGCGGCCCCCGCGCGGCCTCCCCCGCAGCCGGCCCGGACGGGCCCGCACCGGCCCCGGCGCGCTTTGTGTGGGTGGCACCCCCGGGGTCCCGGTGCCCCGAGCCGGGGCTGCCCGCGGGGATTCACCGCCCGCGGGGTTCGGGCCGCGCACGGGGATCAATGGCGATCCCGGGGGCTGGGGGCGAGCAGGAGCCGCCGCTGGCTCCGTCATTCGGTGCTGGGAAAACCGGGGGCAGGAAGGTGACAGCGGCCGGGCTGGGCTGTTCTGTCGGCGCTTCCCTTCCCTCCTCCGGCACTGTCAGAGCCTGGGCCCGGCCGCGGCGCTTCTCTCCCGTCCCTGTCAATTCCTCTGTGAATTCCTCTGTCAGTTCCTCTGTCAATCGCTGTCCCCGGGCCGGGGAGCGGGTACAGCCCGGGACCCTCGGGAGCTGCGGGGTTCGTGTGCCCGCCCCGGCCCAGCCGCTCCTGGGGGCGCAGCGGAGGGGACGGGGTGGAGGGGGAATCCTTCAGGAAATCCTTCCTTGGGGTCTGCAGCGGGGACAGGAGCCCGGGAGGGGCTGGAGCGGTGCCAGGGCTTGGCATGGGGCTCAGGGCAAGGTGCTGGGCACTGCCCAAGGTGCTGGGCACTGCCAGGTTCCTCTGGGAATGGTCCCGGCCCTGCCCAGGGTGGGATTGTTGGGGGGTCTGTGCAGGACCAGGGGCTGCACTGCATTCTCCTGTGTGTTCCTTCCCGGTTTGGGACATTCTGGAATTCACCCAAAGGTGTTCTTGGCTCTGCTCAAGGTGCTGGGCACTGCCAGGCTCCCCAGGGAATGGTCCCGGCCCTGTCAGGGTGCCCAGGACCAAGGGCTGCAGTGGATTCTCCTGTGGGTTCCTCCCGGTTTGGTGCCCAGGGTGGGATTGTTGGGGGTCTGTGCAGGACCAGGGGCTGCGCTGGATTCTCCTGTGAGTCCCTCTCTGTTTGGGACGTTCCGGGATTCACCCAAAGGTGTTCTTGGCTTTCCTGGGTGGTTTTGAGGGTGTTAGGAGCCAGGGGTGTTGCAGAGAGGCAGCTTTGGGCCCCTGTGTGCTGAGCAATGAGGGCACCAGTGAGGATCCATTTCATCCCTGCTCGGTCTGTGTTGGGATGGAGCTGCTGCTCTGCCCTGGGACGCTGCATCTGTGCTCGGTAACTCGTTTGGACCAGTGGAAATCTCTGTTAGGGCGAGCATGACCTTCCCAAAACAAAGTTTCCTTTAACCAAAAAGAGTCAATTTTAAGGAGCTCTGTCCGTCTGAAACCTGATAGCGTTTCACCCGCAACATTGCTTATTTCCTGGGAACTTTTCCGTTTTTCTCGTCACTTTCCTTTTCCTGTTTCACTGAAATTCACAGAGTCAGGGGAACCTCAGGCCTAGAATGCCAAACTCACAGTTACATTTTAGCAATTACATCCAGTAACTGTTGGAGCACCCGGTAATTGCTCGGTGACAGCGAGTTCCCAGTTCTTGGGCTTCCCTGTAACAAGAGAAGGAAGTTGGGGCGGGCTGGCCAACTCCTGCAGTGCCAGAAGGATCCTGAAGGAATCCTAAAGGGATCTTAAAGGAATCCTGAAGGAATCCTGAAGGAATCCACGGCTGTTCCTGCCTCATGACAGGCAGGAGATCCTCCCATGCAAAGGAGATGTAGGTGGATGTAAAGTGATTCCTTGTTCCAGAGCTGATGTTCATGGATGAGACATTCACTGGAGCATCTTTTGACAGGAAAATTCTGTCTAACCCTACGTGGTGGATTGTTCTTTTTATGCTGATTGGAAAGAGACAATTGCCTTGACTGGCCCAGTGGGACCGGAAAAACAAAAAAGTGTGTATATATATATATATATAAAAAGTGTGTATATATATATATATAAAAGTGTATATATATATATATATATATATATATATATATAGTGTATAAGTGTATATATATATATATATAGTGTATAAGTGAATTTATATATATATATAGTGTATAAGTGTATATATATATATATATATATGGTCCTATATATAAACATGATGCATGAAATATGTAATATATTAATATATATATACAAAAGGACATAAAATATATTTTATATATATATAAAAATATATAGAAGGAGTCAGTTTTGTCAGTAAGTCAGAGCACTTTGGTAAAGACCCAAAGTATACAGGTCACATTCCAAGTTTGGCTTTAGGATGAACATGGGCTTTTATAAATTAAAAAAATGAGCTTTTGATGGGAAGTCAGGAGCAAAATTCACTTTGAGGGAGAATCCCACCCGTTTGCTGTAGATAATCCTGGCCATTGGTCATGGGAAGGGCTCACCTGAGCTGTGGGGACACTGCTGCTCTCACTGGGAGCTGTTCTCAACTCCTGTCATGCACCAAGGAAAGATTAAGCTAAAGTGGGAGTTTCACAGCTCTGCAGGTGGTTTAGATCACCCAAAATACAGACAGCTCCTGAAAACGCGGAGCTATTTCCATATAAAAGGTCGTAAGAAATTTGCTGTGAGTTGGGAGAACCAGTTTGGCCAGCCCTGCTGGAAGGGCTCTGTGGGGATTTCACATTTATGCAGGGCTGTGTTTTATTTCCTCCTGGGATGTCCAGCAAACACTGTCAGCATCAGGAGGCTCTGATTCACCTTGCAAGTTTACATCTCATTTTTAAGAGAGCAGGCAATGCACCTGAGAGCAGAAATAATCATTGCGAGCCAGCCAGGCAGCAGGGGAGGGAAAGCTCTTGGCAGTCAGGAGGAACTTGGTGTTTCAGTGAATTCTGAGCAGTCAGGAGGGCTCGGGACCGGTGGATTTCCCCTTCCTGACTCACCCAGGCTCGGGATGTGCTGTGGGGAAGGGTTTGCAGAGCCTGTGCTGCCCCACGTTCCTTCACTGGAGCATCTGTTAATGGCAAAGATGGATGGCAGCTAAATGTGTCACACAAGTGAGGGATTTGCTTAATGGCTTTGGATGCCACTGGGATCCTCCGGGGCTGCTGGAAGGAATTATTTGTCATCTGCTGAAGAATTCAAGGGGGTTTGTCCGTTTGCAGTAGCGGCTGAAATCCTGGATGCTGCAGAATGTTGGCAGGAATCCTGTCATTTCCCACAGGCTGGGGGATATTAATGACTTATCACTGTGGGATATGAGGAAGGTGTTCCTCCCTCTTCAGTGTTCCCCACTAAACTGATTGTTGCTTAATAAGATTTTCTCTTTTTAACTTTTGTGCTGGACCAGATATGTTCTGTCTTGTCACAGCTTAGGGGTAGAGCCATTTGCTACCATGGCTTAATTAAGGTGCTTATTTTCATTTATATTTTCATTTATATTTTCATTTATATTTTCATTTATATTTTCATATTCACTCTCCTGTATAAATGAGGCAGCTCCTCGGCCATGCTCTCACTGGATGGCACAGGAGAAAACTTTTGTGTTCTGCCCTTCCTTGGTCTGGGTGTGCCTCGCTCATGGCAGAAGTGACCTGAAGCTTCATTATTTTTATGTTTTATAAGGCTCATGAACAAGCCACAGTTCCCAGACCCTCAGAGAACACAGGATTGCCCTTTTGTTCCTAAATCTCCTAGAAATCACCAAAGGAGAGGCCTTTGGTGAGGTTTTGGTGCAGATAAGAAGTTTTTGTGGAGTTTCCCACATTTGATCTCAGTTGGCAGAACGAGCAGCACAGCTTCACCTGGGTGGGGTGTGTCGAGTTTGGAGCTGCAGCTTCCAGAGAGACCTGGATAAAGCAGAGCTGGGAGAGATCCAAATTGTCTCGGTTCACCTCCAAGCTCTGGGGTTAATTCAGGCTTTAAATTGTCACTCCTGGAGCTGCGGGTTTGGCTGAGAGGTGTGAAATGGGTGCGGGCTGGGAGAAGCCTGGGGGGGAATGAGGTACCTGGGGGTACCTGGGCAGGTGAGCTGGGGAGGGGCTGAGGTTTATGGGGATACCTGGGGGTACCTGGGCAGGTGAGCCAGGGAGGAACTGGGGTACCTGGGGGTTCCTGTGCAGGTAAACCAGGAAAGGGCTGGGGTTCCTGGGGATACCTGGGCAGGTGAGCCAGGAAAGGGCTGGGGTGCCTAGGGGTACTTGGGGGTACCTAGGGGACCTGGGGTACCTTTCCAGGTGAGCTGGGGTTCTGCAGGGCTGTGCTGGACTGAGGTTCCTGGGCAGGTGAGCCAGGAAAGGGACTGGAGTTCCTTGGGGTACCTGTCCAGGTGAGCTGGGGAGGGGCTGGGGTTCCTGAGGGTATCTGGGGGTACCTGTCCAGGTGAGCTGAGGTTTTGCAGGGCTGTGCTGCAGGCTGGGGTTCTTGGGGTTACCTAGGGGTTCCTGGGGTACCTGTCCAGGTGAGCTGGGGATCTTCAGGACCATGCTGGGCTGAGGTTTCTGGAGGTACCTGAGGGTTCCTGGGGGTACCTGTCCAGGTGAGCTGAGGTTTTGCAGGGCCATGCTGGGCTGGGGTTCCTGGGGATACCTGGGGTACCTGTCCAAGCTTGCTGCAGTTCTGCAGGGCCGTGCCAGGCAGGAGATACCTGAGGGTTCCTGGGGTACCTGTCCAGGTGACCTGCAGTTCTGCAGGGCCGTGGCAGGCTGGGGTTCCTGGGGGTTCCTGGGGTACCTGTCCATCTGACCTGAGGTTTTGCAGGGCTGTTCCAGGCCGGGGATACCTGGGGGTTCCTGGGGTGCCTGTCCCGGCTCGCTGGGGTTCTGCAGGGCCGCTCCAGGCTCGCTGCCCCCCTGCCCGAGCTCCGGAGCATTCCCGGGATGTGGTGGCAGCTGGAAGTGGGTCAGTGTGTCACACCCAGCCCGGGCATTGCCTCGGG